GAGTGCGGGACCCCCAGCTACCTGCTGACAGTGAGTGCGAGTGCGGGACCCCGAGCTACCTGCTGACAGTGAGTGCGAGTGCGGGACCCCGAGCTACCTGCTGACAGTGAGTGCGAGTGAGGGACCCCGAGCTACCAGCTGACAGTGAGTGTGAGTGAGGGACCCCGAGCTACCTGCTGACAGTGAGTGTGAGTGAGGGACCCCGAGCTACCTGCTGACAGTGAGTGTGAGTGAGGGACCCCGAGCTACCTGCTGACAGTGAGTGTGAGTGAGGGACCCCGAGCTACCTGCTGACAGTGAGTGTGAGTGCGGGTGCCCGAGCTACCTGCTGACAGTGAGTGTGAGTGCGGGTGCCCGAGCTACCTGCTGACAGTGAGTGTGAGTGCGGGTGCCCGAGCTACCTGCTGACAGTGAGTGCTGAGTGAGGACCCCGAGCTACCTGCTGCTTGACAGTGAGTGTGAGTGAGGGACCCCCAGCTACACTGCTGACAGTGAGTGTGATGCTTGGGACCCCCAGCTACCTGCTGACAGTGAGTGTAGTGAGGACCCCCAGCTACCTGCTGACAGTGAGTGTGAGTGAGGGACCCCCAAGCTACCTGCTGACAGTGAGTGCAGTCTTGGGACCCCCCAGCTACTGCTGACAGTGAGTGCTGATGCAGGGACCCGAGCTACCTGCCTGACAGTGAGTGCGAGTGTGAGGACCCGAGCTGCTGACAGTGAGTGCGAGTGCGGGACCCCGAGCTACCTGCTGACAGTGAGTGCGAGTGCGGGAACCCGAGCTACCTGCTGACAGTGAGTGTGAGTGAGGGACCCCGAGCTACCTGCTGACAGTGAATGCGAGTGCGGGACCCCGAACTACCTGCTGACAGTGAGTGCGAGTGAGGGACCCCGAGCTACCTGCTGACAGTGAGTGCGAGTGAGGGACCCCGAGCTACCTGCTGACAGTGAGTGTGAGTGTGGGTGCCCGAGCTACCTGCTGACAGTGAGTGTGAGTGCGGGTGCCCGAGCTACCTGCTGACAGTGAGTGTGAGTGCGGGTCCCTGAGCTACCTGCTGACAGTGAGTGCGAGTGAGGGACCCCCAGCTACCTGCTGACCGTGAGTGTGGGACCCCCAGCTACCTGCTGACCGTGAGTGTGGGACCCCCAGCTACCTGCTGACAGTGAGTGCGAGTGTGGGACCCCCAGCTACCTGCTGACAGTGAGTGCGAGTGTGGGACCCCCAGCTACCTGCTGACCGTGAGTGCGGGACCCCCAGCTACCTGCTGACAGTGAGTGCGGGACCCCCAGCTACCTGCTGACAGTGAGTGTGGGACCCCCAGCTACCTGCTGACCGTGAGTGTGGGACCCCCAGCTACCTGCTGACCGTGAGTGCGGGACCCCCAGCTACCTGCTGACAGTGAGTGCGAGTGTGGGACCCCCAGCTACCTGCTGACAGTGAGCGTGAGTGCGGGACCCCGAGCTACCTGCTGACAGTGAGTGCGAGTGAGGGACCCCGAGCTACCTGCTGACAGTGAGTGCGAGTGAGGGACCCCGAGCTACCTGCTGACAGTGAGTGTGAGTGCGGGACCCCGAGCTACCTGCTGACAGTGAGTGTGAGTGAGGGACCCCGAGCTACCTGCTGACTGTGAGTGAGGGACCCCGAGCTACCTGCTGACAGTGAGTGTGAGTGAGGGACCCCGAGCTACCTGCTGACTGTGAGTGAGGGACCCCGAGCTACCTGCTGACAGTGAGTGTGAGTGAGGGACCCCGAGCTACCTGCTGACAGTGAGTGTGAGTGAGGGACCCCGAGCTACCTGCTGACAGTGAGTGTGAGTGCGGGTGCCCGAGCTACCTGCTGACAGTGAGTGTGAGTGCGGGTGCCCGAGCTACCTGCTGACAGTGAGTGTGAGTGCGGGTGCCCGAGCTACCTGCTGACAGTGAGTGTGAGTGCGGGTCCCTGAGCTACCTGCTGACAGTGAGTGCGGGTCCCTGAGCTACCTGCTGACAGTGAGTGCGGGTCCCTGAGCTACCTGCTGACAGTGAGTGCGGGTCCCTGAGCTACCTGCTTACTGTGAGTGCGGTCCCCGAAAGCTACCTGCTTACTGGGAGTGGTCCCCGAGCTGGCCTGCTACTGGTGTGAGTGGCGGGCCTCGAAGCTACCTGTTTACTGTGAGTGCGGTCCCCGGTTACCTATGGCCAGAGTGCGGTCCCCTCGAGCTACCTGCTTACTGTGAGGCGGGTCCCTCGAAGCCTGCTGACAGTGAGGCGGTCCCCGAAGCTACCTGCTGACAGGGAGTGCTGGTCCCGGGATCTACCCGGGCCAGACAGTGAAGTGTGAGTGCTGGTCCCCGACCCACCCGGGCTGACAGGAGGTGGGATCCCGAGCTACCTGCTGACAGAGTGTGGAGTGAGGGACCCCCGGAAATACCTGCTGACAGTGAGTGTGAGTGCGGGTCCCCGAGCTACCTGCTGACAGTGAGTGTGAGTGCGGGACCCCGAGCTACCTGCTGACAGTGAGTGTGAGTGCGGGACCCCGAGCTACCTGCTGACAGTGAGTGTGAGTGCGGGACCCCGAGCTACCTGCTGACACTGAGTGTGAGTGCGGGTGCCCGAGCTACCTGCTGACAGTGAGTGTGAGTGCGGGTCCCTGAGCTACCTGCTGACAGTGAGTGTGAGTGCGGGTCCCTGAGCTACCTGCTGACAGTGTGTGAGTGCGGGTCCCTGAGCTACCTGCTGACAGTGTGTGAGTGCGGGTCCCTGAGCTACCTGCTGACAGTGAGTGCGGGTCCCTGAGCTACCTGCTGACAGTGAGTGTGAGTGCGGGACCCCGAGCTACCTGCTGACAGTGAGTGTGAGTGCGGGACCCCGAGCTACCTGCTGACATTGAGTGTGAGTGCGGGTCCCCGAGCTACCTGCTTACTGTGAGTGCGGGTCCCCGAGCTACCTGCTTACTGTGAGTGCGGGTCCCCGAGCTACCTGCTTACTGTGAGTGCGGGTCCCCGAGCTACCTGCTTACTGTGAGTGCGGGTCCCCGAGCTACCTGCTGACAGTGAGTGCGGGTCCCCGAGCTACCCGCTGACAGTGAGTGTGAGTGCGGGTCCCCGATCTACCCGCTGACAGTGAGTGTGAGTGAGGGATCCTGAGCTACCTGCTGACAGTGAGTGTGAGTGAGGGACCCCGAGCTACCTGCTGACAGTGAGTGTGAGTGAGGGACCCCGAGCTACCTGCTGACAGTGAGTGCGAGTGATGGACCCCGAGCTACCTGCTGACAGTGAGTGCGAGTGATGGACCCCGAGCTACCTGCTGACAGTGAGTGTGGGACCCCCAGCTACCTGCTGACAGTGAGTGTGAGTGAGGGACCCCGAGCTACCTGCTGACAGTGAGTGCGAGTGATGGACCCCGAGCTACCTGCTGACAGTGAGTGTGAGTGAGGGACCCCGAGCTACCTGCTGACAGTGAGTGTGAGTGAGGGACCCCGAGCTACCTGCTGACAGTGAGTGTGAGTGCGGGACCCCGAGCTACCTGCTGACAGCGAGTGTGAGTGCGGGACCCCGAGCTACCTGCTGACAGTGAGTGAGCTACCTGCTGACAGTGAGTGCGGGTCCCTGAGCTACCTGCTGACAGTGAGTGCGGGTCCCTGAGCTACCTGCTGACAGTGAGTGCGGGTCCCTGAGCTACCTGCTGACAGTGAGTGTGAGTGCGGGACCCCGAGCTACCTGCTGACAGTGAGTGTGAGTGCGGGACCCCGAGCTACCTGCTGACATTGAGTGTGAGTGCGGGTCCCCGAGCTACCTGCTTACTGTGAGTGCGGGTCCCCGAGCTATCTGCTGACAGTGAGTGTAGGTCCCCGAGCTACCCGCTGACAGTGAGTGTGAGTGTGGATCCCCGAGCTACCCGCTGACAGTGAGTGGGGTTCCCCGAGCTACCCGCTGACAGTGAGTGGGGGTCCCCGAGCTACCTGCTGACAGTGAGTGTGAGTGCGGGTCCCCGAGCTACCTGCTGACAGTGAGGCGGGTTATGTGTAAATATTACTGGGAAAATCCTATATTAACCCTGTGCACACTTTACAAATTGTAAAAAAAAAACACAAAAAAACCCAGATATCAATGGACTTAACACTGTTGTGTAAATAGTGATGAGGTTTATTTGGATCAGTGAGCCAAGCATTACATTTTTTTTTGTGTGTGTGTGTGTTGTTTTTTAGCTTTATTTATCTACTCTTCACTGCCCAGACTGCCACCTAATCTCTGTACTGAACCTGCAGCTTGATCTCCTTACTCCCTCTCCTGCCTGCTTCAATTTATCCCTAATGTCTCACAAGCTCGCCATCTAATCTCCCCAATAGATATGGAACAGGGTACCTCCATCAAATTGCCTCTGTGGGGTGAGATACCACCGCATTAAGAGGTTGGTTGTTTTTTAATTTTTTTTGAAAATGAAAAGCTCTGTGAGTGGCAATTGGTACATCTCTATTAGGGTAGCAAAAGATTTGATGCCTGTCTCATCTGAGGTGTTTCACTTGGTGAACCTTGCATGAAATCCACTTAGCTTTATTGAGATGCTTCGTAAATCGAGTGGACAGGTCGGCATAGTGCAGTAATGATAAATTTCAGACTAAGGAAAGGGGCATTAGATGACCAGATTTTAACTGAGTACTTTGTGAGAGCCTGAGAAAGTGTTTGGGTTGCTGCTGTCTGGTGGGCTTCCATTAGATGTTGCATTATGCATGCCGTCTTGTCCTAGCATATCATCAAGAATGGAGTTGAGCTTGTCTATTTTATGCATCCTGTAGGTTAAAGATGTGTCAGACTTATTCTCTACATTGGAGAGATTGCTTGCCCAGTGTAGTTGTGTCACAAACTACATCTAGTTAAAATTAGATCTATCTCAGAATGTTTAAACGGTCCCATATATCCTGTGACATAATTACTTTTATAATTGTGTGTTCTCTCTGGTGGGTTTGGAACACTTATTTTTTGTATCATTTCAGGCACGCACAGATTTCCTCCGTAAGAAGTCCCGTCTTGCAGTCAATGATGGTGAGACTGCACTGGTAAAGCTCGATACAGATGATGGACACATTAATTTCTTCCAAGATGTTGAGGAAGGCAAAGGAACCAATAAGGGCAACAAAGAATATGAAGACGAAAAGCGCAAAGAAAAGGTAAGTTAATATCCTCATACTACCCAAGTTTTACAAATCAATACTGTCAAGCAGTGTAATCTCTCAAATAGGGCACACCGAACACAGAATAGCCACGCAACAAAGTTTAATATGCTTGAAGGAACACTATAGTGTTGGAAGTACAAATGTGTGTTCCTAACACTATAGTGCCCTAGTCACCAGGCCCAGCTGCCAGTGTAAAAATGTGAGTTTACTTTGCCTTTTTACCCTCACAGTGCTGGTTTTCAGTGTTTTTCTACACCTTGGTAGACTAGTGCGCATGTGGGGGCAAAACGCTGCACTATGCCAATCAGATCACCAACTCTAACTCCAGCAAGCAATGCCAGACCGATACTCTACTATGCAATTGTACTTACTTTTGTTTACTGCCGATTTATATGGACTTATAGTAATTTCAACTGTCACTTCAAAACTATTTTTAATGTTTTCAAGTATAGTAAAGCGAATAGTTTTTTTTTTTTTTAATTTAATGAATTATATGTACAAAAATTTGCTGTCAGAAGAGGTAATTCCGGTACAGTGCAGAGTTTTTTTCTTAAACATGTCATTTGAACTACTAAGCCACTGTAGTATCAGTTCAGTGCTAAAGGAAATTGCTGCATTGCACTGTTAATTTTTGTCTTAACTTTGTGAAATTTTGGAAACTTTCACAGGAGCATCAAGAGAAGGCATTGGGTATTCTTACTTATTTGGGTCAAAGCGCATCAGAATCCCAGACAAGTCGTCCTTGGTACCAGGAGGTCCCGGTTAACAGTAAAAAGGACGTAGATGATAATGCAAAGGACGAAAAGCTAAAACAAAAGCTAGACCCAATTCATGAAATGGAGCGTTACCTTCAAAAGAAAACTGGAGAAAAGAAGAAACACAAACACAAAAAAGAAAAAACAAAGGAAATGAATCGGTAAGTACCACTGGATGTCTATAAAGGGCTCACGTTCTAGGACAGGGATGGCGAGATTTTGAGCCAGAGTGCCCAAACCGCAATACAAACAAATTTTTTTTTTCCCTTTAAGTGTCAACACGGCACTTAAACCTGGATACTGAGGTTTAAGTTTAGAAAAAAAACTATTCTAACAGTTGCCTTCCATCCCACCCACCAACAATACGAAAGCAGAGTAGGCACCTGCTGTTAGACCACATTGCCTGCCATTCAGAGACACTTATTTCACAAGTGCATTTCATCAAATTTATACTTGACTGGCAAAAACATATCTGCCAGTGCATTTTCCAGTATTTCTGCAAACATTAACTGGCTACTTAGACACATACACATATCCTAATGTTGACATCTTGTTGTGCGGTGGCACAGGGGTGTAGTGGAGGTGAGATATTCTTACCTGTTGCATTCCCTGGTGGGTGCCACTTCTCATCTTTCCTCAACTCCTAGTGTTTCTTCCACTAGGAGCTCATGTCTGGGCTGTACTCTCAAGAGCCTCCATAGATATTGTCTTGTGATGAGCGAGATAACACCCTTTTCTCACAGTTGTCACTAGTGACATGGTAGCTCTGCCTTTTGTCAAGTGGAGGAATAATGCATCAGACATAGTATTTTCTACTTTATGTCGTTCATCTGAGGTGGAATTGCAATGAAATGAAAAACCCAGTATTTAAGAGCATCCAATAATCATATCCCTTCATGAAATACTCAGGAGTGGGGGCTACTTTAAAATAGTTGCCGTGCCATGCAGCAACGAGACAGCATAGGTCTCCTGCAACCCAGTAAGTTTACCAGAGTATAGACATGTGTGATAAGACTAGCGGCCAGTATCTACGAACTGCTGACCTGCATTAAAGGTGACTTTGGTGTATGAAACTTCAAGAACAATTGATGTGGTACTGGACACCCACAGCACATTTATGCCTAAGCTTAATTCCAATCACTTTTGGTCAAAGTGTAAAAAGTGTTGCTACTAGTATTGCATTTGCTTGTTAAATGTGTTTACTACTTGTATTGTATGTGTCTACTTGTGTGGGTTTTTTTTTTTTTATTTTATTTTATTGTCTTGTAACAAATATATAAATATTTATTGTACTTTTTTTGAAAATTTGTTAGTATGTTGCCTCTACTCCTTGTTCTTAAATCTTTATTGAAACGCCAGTTAACATTTGAGAAGAAATGTAAAATATTTTTTTTTCAATCACGTAGAATTAAAACATTTTTTTGTCTATGTAGATCGCTTAAGCCGTCGATTGAGCAGTTGAGACAAGAGCGCCTCAAGCGTGAGGCGGCAGAAAGGGCCCGTGCTGAAGCCTTGTTATCTGGGAAAAAAGAGACACCCGTTCCGGAGCAAGAAATGGATGATAGAAAACGCTGTTATAATTCCCAGTTCAATCCACAACTGGCACGAAAGCCCACCTCACGAGAAGAGCAGCGGTATCCATATTAGAAACGGAATGAAGACTGGGCAGCAATAGCTATCGAGTGTTTTTTGTAAATCAGTATTTATCGAGTTTCACAATCTTTATACTTGTATTAAAAGAATATAAACAATATAATGAAATGGCTGTTATACAAAGCAAATCAGTGTTAGTCAATAGGGAAAAGAACAAGTTTGTTGTCAGACTATTAAAGGAATATGTGGACAAATATGAAAGGTATGTGGAAATGTCAAACTTGTAATCTAGCATCATGAGGACTTTTAGCTACTTTACTCATTCTATAAAAGGTTCCTAGAAGAGGATTACAACCACTTGGGTGCAGAATTTTGTTTTGGTGAGCATGGTCAATTTACTAACTCCTTCCCAAGTTGTCCAATGCAGACATAACACCGCTGCCTCTTTTATAAGCTCCATCCTTTTTGTAATCCGTAGATTTTATTGGACTGATAATATAAAAGTAGCAGCCTGCAGAACTGGTAGTAAGCTATGTTTCCTCATACAGGCAAAGCACTCAAAATGGTTTGAATGAGACATGTTCAGTCCATAACTAAATGGGACCAATCTACATTATCATGCATACTTATCAATGATAGAAATAGAGCCAGTACAAACATTATGAAGACCTCTCTCACACAATATCTGCTAAAACCAAACAGTAATGCCCTAACGTAAAGTTGAATATTTTGATCATCAATAAGTGATGGATGCTAAGATGGTTATACATCAGGAATGTATAGGGATCATAAAAATAAAAGGCATAGAGTCTAGATTAGGGGATGCCAAAAAGGTAGATTAACAAATGTTGTAGAACAGCTTCCATGATGCTTTTTCATTCTAAAGACATGCAAAGCACCAAGGGAACGGTAGTGCTACAACATGTAAGATCTACCTTTTGGGCACCCCTAATCTAGACAAAGCTACTTGCTAAATAAATGGACTTATGTATTTGTTGAGCATTACCCCCATGATGTGGGAGTGCCAGTGAAGCATCATAAATGCTGCACATTTCCCCAACTCAGCTTTACACAACAAATGAGAGGGATGGCAGAGTGCCCCCACCCACACAGCATGTTCCTAGCCAGGGCTGTCTGGGAGTCTGCTCTCCATTCATTGCAGGACAATGCATTGTCAACACCCAGACAGACCACTTACCTTTCTATTCACCTCCACATTGCTACTGTCTAGACCGCACAGGGTCTGGTAGTTATGAAACTGATCCATTCTAATCCATTCTCTCCCTGCCCGGTTGAGGTGCTGGGGCTCCAGGGCTGTCAGACAGACTGTACAGAGTGCTGTTTGTGTGGCTGAGCTGCCACTACACACATGTGCGCACACTCCTGGTCTGCTGCTTCTCTTTGGATGACACTGGACCTCACAACATGGTGATGTCCCAATGCAACATTGTGCACAGCAGCGCCAAGTGTGATACTCACAGGCTGGATCCAGTCCCCTCAGTGCTCTCAGCATGGGAGCCTACAGACTGAGGGAATAATACGCATAGTAGGTACACAGTGACTGCTCATTTAAATTATTCAATGCAGGCTATTTTTCCTTTCAGGGAGGTATGGCTAAAAATGCATGGACTGAAATAAAGTGATTTAAATGAACACTCCACTTGCCATTTTTCCCCCCTGAAAGCGACTTTGTTTATTCACATAGAAATAACAAGAATTCTCATTAAGAACCATCTGAGGTCTGGAACGGAGAAGCTGCTCTGAGCTCAGCACACTCATAGAGGAGCTCAGGAGAGATAGGAAGTAATCCTCCTCGCTGTTTGATAGTTATATGAAAGTGCTGAAGTGCTTTTGGGTGTGAGATATCGCTGTGGATGGAGTTTAATTGTAGAAAGTGGCAACTTTGCACAGTACAATCTACTAGAGGTGATGTATCTAGTATGTCTGTGGTGCTTAAGGGGTTAAAGAGCTAGACACATCCAACAAAATGGTACTTTAAGGGCAAATATTTTACTTACCCAATCGCTGACGATGTTCCCAGTGTGGGGGGGAACTGCCCAGACAGTCTCCCCCCATGGCCATGTGATCGCTCTGAAAAGAGCAGTCACATGGCTGCATGGGGACTGCCTGCAGCATAAGGTCATACTAAAGTATTTTTATATTATATACACTTATAATTAAATTACATAATGAAAAAATATATGCAATTTTATTCTAAATATTTTGATAGAGATATCTATCAAAATACACATGAAATTATACATGTGTATATAAATATATATACATAAATTACATAACTATACACGTTTACTTCAAATATATAAATATTTGGCCAAAGTTAGTGTTCAGATTAGTTTTTTTGCACTTTTCACACACAAAAACAAATAATGCCAATTTTGGCCAGTGTTTGTGGCTTCTAAAAAAGACTGGACGTACCCCATTTGCAATACCTTGGGTTGTCTACAATTGCAAATGTTATGCCATCATGGAGGTAATTTTCATTCCTGGGCTACCATACGGTCTCAAAGGCAACGTAACCAATCTAACGAATTTCAGTGTGAAAAAACTGAAACGCAAGCCTTATATTTTATTCTAACTTTTAAAAACACCATAAAACCTGTACATGAGGGGTACTGTTCTACTCGGGAGACTTCGCTGAACACAAATATTAGTGTTTCAAAACAGTAAAACATCAGAACAATATTGTCTGTGTAGGTGCCATTTGTGTGTGAAAAATGTCACTTTCACTGACAATATAATCGTAATACATTTGACTGTTTTGAAACACTAATATTTGTGTTCAGCAAAGTCTTCAGAGTAAAACAGTACCCCCCCATGTACAGGTTTTATAGTGTCTTGGAAAGTTAGTTAAATATAGTGCTAGCAAATTAAATTCCGTGGACTTTCGGCATGGGTTGTCAGGCAGGTCACGCAAATTGTAATGAATAAAAATGACCTAAATTATGTATATTACATACACACATTAATTATTTTTATATATATAGCGAGATAGAGATATATATACACACACACACACACACACGTGTGTATTATTTATTTAATCAATATCATTGTGTATTTTGATATGAAATATATATATATATACACACTAAGTATATATTATTTTAAACTGTTTATAAACTGATTTTACTTTTTTCAGGCAGCAATGTGAGTACCTGTCATTACAGGCACTCCTCCTGCTGTGTTGACGGCTATGACGTCCGTGAGGTCCTCACGAGGACCTCGCGATCACATAGCCCAGGTGGGCCGGAACGGCAGCAGGGGGACTCCCTGGGATGCATGGTGAGTCCCCCCCACCGCAATCGCCGGCAAGCAAATAAATAGGATGGTGGGGACGTGCTATGCCGCCCGCGTTTAGAGACAGGTCCCCAAGGACAGCATAGCACGCCCACCATTCTTAAAGGGTTAAAGATGCTTATTTAAAAACACACCAAGAAGAGTTAATATTTTCATACAAAATAAAAATAAAAAAATTTCACGGTTATCAATTTTACCGTTCTAAAACACCCAGTGATGTCACATGAGTACAACAGTACCCCCCATGTACAGGTTTTATGGTGTTTTGGAAAGTTATAGGGCTTGCAAATGAAAGTCTCTGTCAGGTCTCCCAATATATGATAAAATAAATCTATCCATCTATACACTTTTATATATTTATTCCAAGAGTATAATGTTTATATATAGATCTGTTTAATCTAAATTGGGTGTGATTCTGTCTGACAACCCAGGCAGTCCCACTGCAGCCAATCAGTCAGGATCACAGCGTCCCTGCAATCACATTACTTAGATTGGATGCAAATGGACTGTCTGGTTTGGCAGGCTCCCTGCTTGCAATAGAGGGTTTTTGAGCTGGAGGGGACACTGTAAAGACCTTTTGTAGGACGGCATAACACACCATAACGTAAGAAAAGGGGCTGATTGTTTACTGTTGCATAACTGGAGGGCCTTGTGCAAGCTAAAGCAAAGCATAGCTGTGGCAGCCTTGTTTAGTATGAACTAGTTAAAGTCTAGAGAATTTACTGTAACTTGTGTTGTATGATTGAAGGATAGATGGATGTAAACACTTTAAAAAGAAACAGCCCAAGCTAAAGTACTTTCTGCAAATTCTAAGCATCTGCATTAAAATTGGATAGATTAGTAAGTAAAAAAAATAAAAAATAATTCTCAATAAAGCCCTGCCACTGGCCACAACCCTAAAATTAAAGTGTCCCGCTTTCCATTTGAAATTTGACACTTGACACCAGCAAACAAACATGTGGAAATAATGTGAGGCACATAAATATTCTTGCATGAGAAGACATCATATAAAACTATTTATTCATAAATATTTTCCAAAATGAAAATAGGTTACGAAAAATATTTTAAACCAGCTTTCCATACCATTAATTCCATCGGTACAGATACATGTATCGAGGAAGGGGAGGGAAGGGGATAAAGGGTAGGGGAAAATAAAAAATAAAACACTTTAAACCTTGATGCACTTGTTATCAAAACAAAAAGATCCAGTATCTGCCAAAAGGACAAAATGATAGAAAAACAAAAGTTTTTTGTTTTTTTTGTTTTTAAAGAGGGGAAAAAAAAACAAAACAAAAAAATGGCAGCCAGTAGAAACCCCTCTGGGTAGAGACAAGAACTTCCTGCCTGCAGAAACATCCAGGAGGGGAAGAATAGCTTTTCCTTCCTCTTGCAAAGACTTTTATACACTTTTTTTGTTCAGTTTCTTTTTACTATTAACCAAATACATTAAAAAGTTGACTGTTGCTGCCTCTTCCTTGAAACCTTCGGAAAAAAGTGAGGAGGTTTGGAGACTCGTGAGGGATTGAACTCTCCTGATTTTCACATTCCCATCCTCTCCATTTTTTATTTGCGATCCCATTTCATGTTTTCATATAATTTTTGAAACTGCATGCATTAAAGTGTTTGTCCGAATTTTCCCTCCTCCCAACGCTCCTTGGGAACGGGACAGAGAAACACTCATCCGTCCCTCCCCTTGTTTTCCTCCTTTGCTGTTTGCCCATGTGAAACTGGAAGGCTGAGTACGATGGAGTGAAGTCACTGTAAGTCACGATCCTCCAGGTAACGATATTCAAATGTGAATCCTTCTTTTTTCCGCTGGCCCCATTTTTCATAGTCAAAGTAAATGTATGTGCCCTGCAGGAAGAAGGGGGAAAAAGTCCCATTATGTTAAATAACTAAAAAACAAAGACAATACAATCCTATTTCTAGAGAGTAATAAATGCAATGGAAATGCTGTTTTAGATTACATTTTCTCCCCTCTGTACACATGATGAAGAGTACAAACAAAGGCTTATATATAGAAGTCATCTCTTCCCCATTAAGATCACCAATTATAGTGTAAATGATTTGCAGAGATTTTAAAGGAAAACAAACATGTATTCCTGTCCTGACCCTATAGTGCTAAACCCACCATTTTGGTGGCTTGCTCCCTCAGACCCCCTATAAAAAGTTAAACAAAAAAGAAAAAAAAAACACTCCGCGCACCTTATTTCCCAGAGCCATGCGGTCAGCCGGCGCTGGCTCCACCCCCTTTGTGACATCAAAATGGCAGATTTTTAGCCAATCCAATACTTTCCAAAAGGGAAAAGCATTGGATTGGCTAAAATTGGCACACAACAGGGTTAAATGCTGTTTTAGCCAATCAAGTCCTCCTCATAAAGATGCATTGAATCAATTCATCTCTGAGGAAAATTCAGCTTCTCCATGCAGAGCGTGGGGACGCTGTACATCAGGGCTTTTTTTCCCCCAGCAGCACCTCCAGTATCCATCTTACGAGTGGCCACTTGGAAGTGTCCCTAAAGGCAATGTACACACTGCCTTTTCTCTGAAAAGGCAATGTTTGCATGAAAAAGAAAAAAAAAAAAAAAATAGCCTGAAGGGAACCATTATAGCTTATTACATTAAGCTGTAGTTGTTCTGGTGACTAGTCTACTTTAAAGGGACACTATAGACAACACTTGTTAGCCTAATTTACATAACTTTTGCAAGGCAAGGTTGTCCTTACAGGGCAATGTGAAGCAAAGGAGAGTGCAGGTGATTTACTGCTCTTCACATCACAGGAAGTGGAGTCCAATTACACATTGAATATAAGCTTTCATATTTTGGTTTCTACTTCTGTGACGTGAGAAAAGACCTAGTCTGTATCTGATCATTAATGAGTTCTGCTGGTGGGATGAGTACCAAGTAACCACAAACCTGTTCAAATTCATCTGTTATTGTCTTGGGCTCTTCATGTCTCTGAAACCACATCATGTATTTGGTGTGAAACCTCCAGGACTGTTTCTTCAGCGCTTTGGCTGCTAAATACTGTGCTTTAGTGCCCTGCAAACAGACAAATGATTTCTTTAAGTGTTTAAGAAAAAAAAAAAAAAAAACACACGAGTCGCAACAAATCCGCTATGATGCCAGGAAAGCTCTAGCATTGACCCATGCTAAGTAGTCAAATAACTTTTAGTACTGTTTGACAACTTACCTGGGTCCCCACGCTGCATCCATTCTTCTCATAAAGGAGAAGCTGGAGGTCTTTAAAAAAAGCACAACCAATGCAGGACCAAATACATTGGTTAAGAGCCCTTAGCTGCTGCCCTAAATTAATGAGCATGGTCCTACTTTGCTATATTGAGCAAACTAGACACTCCTACTGGAGAAGACCGGAAGGAAAGCAGGCTCCTGACAAGACCAAGGTTAAGGGGTCAAACCATACTAAAACAATTTGACAACACAGCATAGGATGGTGCCAGATCACTTCTAGCACTATGACCACTAAAGCAGGCTGTAAACAGAATTTTAATTTTGTTTCTACAACTCTTGGAAATGTTAGGCAAACTAGAGTGAATGTTTTGCATAAGGCAGACAAGCAAGTATACATTTTGTTTGGTCCTATCCCTTCCATTTTAAATTCCACGATTGTGATGTTAAGATGTGTAAGGGCAATCTAATTTCATAGCAAAGCGGTCATTTTATGATGTAGATTGTCCCTCTTAGACCGGTATTTACTGTGGTGAGGTGTGCTGGAGATCAAATCACAGAACACTTTGGACGCACTGGGCAATTAGTGCTGACATGTTCCTACAGTTTCCTGCCTTGGTCACAAGTCACATGCAAGGGCTATTTTGAATCTGCATTAAATGCACATTAACTGTACCATGCAGCATACCACGAGTACGGTTTCTACAATCTACCTGAAACCTGATGCAGCATACCTCCAGATAGTAGAAAATAAAGAAAAGAGTCTCTGTGGACAGCCGTTGATAGAATTCGACGGTGTCAGAATGAGGAGGTGGCATCTGGTGATGATATGGGGGTGTCGGACACGGATTCCGCGGGAGGTATTGTCTGTCGAAAGACATGCATTAAATTTTTTTAAATGGGATTTATTTCCAAAACAATTATTGAAACACTGAATTTATTCAATTAACTTGTATTCACATTTTAAGGAACTACTTTTGAGATCAATATAAGCATCAGGGCCTTCTTCACTCCTTGCTTAGGATTATGTACACATAATCTGTCAATATTTGTGATACCAGATTTTAAATAATAACCTACTTATGGGAATAGAACTGTCTTAATACGGTTGCAAAGTATTAATTAAGCTGTAGTTTAACTTTCTTGGCTTAGATTAGACCTTTATACAAGGACTGTTCCAATATTGCCATTTGTAAGCAGACAGTTCTTAGAAAGGGAGTCCAACAATTAAAAGGTCCAGAGTTAGAGACCCCAGTAGTCCAGTCACTTAACCCTTAAGGACACATGACATGTGTGTCATGATTCCCTTTTATTCCAGAAGTTTGGTCCTTAAAGGAACACTATAGTCACCTAAATTACTTTAGCTATATAAAGCAGTTTTAGTGTATATATCATTCCCCTGCAATTTCACTGCTCAATTCACTCATTTAGGAGTTAAATCACATAGTTTCTGTTTATGCAGCCTTAGCCACACCTCCCCTGGCTATGATTGACAGAGCCTGCATGAAAAAAAGAAACTGGTTTCACTTTCAAACAGATGTAATTTACCTTAAATAATTGTATCTCAATCTCTAAATTGAACTTTAATCACATACAGGAGGCTCTTGCAGAGTCTAGCAAGCTATTAACATAGCAGGGGATAAGAAAATCTTAATTAAACAGAACTTGCAATAAAGAAAGCCTAAATAGGGCTCTCTGTACAGGAAGTGTTTATGGAAGGCTGTGCAAGTCACATGCAGGGAGGTGTGACTAGGGTTCATAAACAAAGGGATTTAACTCCTAAATGGCAGAGGATTAAGCAGTGAGGCTGCAGGAGCATGTTCTATACACCAAAACTGCTTCATTAAGCTAAAGTTGTTCAGGTGACTATAGTGTCCCTTTAAGGGAAAGACTGGACACCCTTCCAACAGTTGTAAGTATACACCTCCATAGGTCACCATAATTCTGAGCAGTAGGTGTACTAATACTCCATAAGCAACTTGACAAGCCTGGGCGCCCTATGTTTAACATCATAATACATAAGATACAGAGATATAGATGCATACCGTATCCTTTCTGAGTCAGACGGATGAGGCATATGATGCCAAGCTGCGTCTTCCATTGCTTGTTGATACAGCTGATCTGTAGTGAGTGCAACAGGACCCAAAGGACAGACCCCCAGAGATAGTGGGATGTTAACTTCTGAATGCTGCGTTGGGGGCTGAGTTACTGGAGGTTGAGTTGTACTTGTAGTGATAAGTATATCTGTAAAAGAAATACATAACAGAAGGCAACTCATCAAAAGGAAGTTATAAATGCAGACAATCTGCTTTATGGGCAAGCTAGTGGAATCTAGTACAGTAAGCAATCTCAAATCAGAAGTAAATAGATTACACCAACAACACTGCTGCGGTTGTCATGCCTTTTGCCCCCACGTCAAATCTACCCTCCTATGGCTATCTTAAGGAAAATCCCACGCACATGCCAATGATTATTATTCTGAATTGCATGAAACTGAAAGGCCACTTCACATTAAAAAAGTAAAATAAAAATGGATACACATTATTAGTGGCAAGAACGGCACATGTACAAAGATATCCACACACGAAATGTGGGAGTGGGCACTACAGTGCCAGGAAAACTGATTTGTTTTCCTGGCACTGGAGAGTAACTTTAAGGTCTTGATCTCTTTCAAATAGAAGATCTAAAAGACCAATTTTACATATTCGCAAGCACAATGTAAATTACTTGGCATTGCTATTACAAACACAAGTGTGCCACTTCTATTTCAAGAGGTGAAATACAAAATCCTTTAAAGAACAAACCACACAAAGCACTTCAGCTTGCTCAAGTGATTTAGGATTGAAAAGTGTGTGTCACCACCAATAAAATAAAAAATACACAATCAGGGATTTTAGCAGAGATTGGTACTGATCTTTAGCTTTGTGGAACTTAAGATGCATGCAATTTTTCCGAGCAAAGGCTTCTCGTTAAGCTACATTGTGAAGAATGGATAGCCACAGAAAGTCTGGGGGTGCAAAAGAAAAGGAAAGCAGCAGCCTGCAGCTTTTGCAAAAAATAAAATTAAAAAAAAAATAAAGAAAAAAAGAATATACACATGCATGGTTTCATTGGGGGGAATCTACTTAAACAGAATTTTGTATTTTGACTGTAGAGTGTACCTTTAAAAACCATTTCTGCAACTTAAATTACCACATAAAATGATGTAAGAATGCATACCTCTGTCAGCCAGGTGGATAGTAGGAACTGGGTCTTCTAAGTTGGGCCCAATTGCTGCTCGTTCTGCCATAGATTTTAATGTGCTAAGGGGCTCCGGTGCCTAAAAAAATAAGTAAATAAATTATAAATTTAGATGTATTACACCTGTAATGAATATGGCTTGGGCCAAAAACACAAAACAACCCCCACTCCCAACATTTCATCTATACACAATGCTACATGCATTGCTAGGAAATGCACATCTGAACTGTTATTAATATGGCATACATTAGTGTTAACACGGTTCGGTTTAGAGATTAAAGTGGGAATGGTCAGGAATTCGAAGTGAATTTCCAATTTAAGGCAAACATCCTGGAAACAATACAGACTTGGAGATTTTTGAGACTTAAATGTGAAATTCACTTTGAATACCTGACAAATCTCACTGCACACATCATGTTAAAAGGTGGCATTCGAAAAGTGCTGCCCTGAATCATGAAGAATGTTATGCAGGACCAAAAATTATATATCTTATCTAGCCCAACATTACTTGGATTCTAGCATTAGGGAAAACTCAAGAGTAACAGTACCACTTTAATATGCAAACGACAGTTTTACCATTACAATACAATTTTGATGGGGTTTAAATTATCCACAAGCTACTAAAGTCTGAATCACCTTTGCTTTTTTAATGAAGAAAGGGAGAGGGAGGGGAGACCGAATAAGATGAAGTACAACAGGTACATTATTTTGAGATGTCCAGAAATTAAACAGTATTTAATTTCACAGCCCCTTAAATAGAGAATTTACACTGCCTGGGCTCGCCTGATTTGTCTTATCTACAGTAAACTGAGATAAAGGACTCAATATACGGTTCTTCCAGGCTTCCATATGAACCATTGAAGTGGGGTCCATATTGCCATTTCTGCAATATCCTACTACTACTACTGGTCATGCTTCAGCCAAGAAATCCCAAGTTTCACAAGATTCCTTAGAACAATTATATGTAACAGAGCTTAATTTTCAGCAGGGCTTTTGTTCAATGCAGTGTGTCCAAGCTTCTGCTTAATACCTGAACTCATGAAACATGCTTTAAAAAAAAAAAAAAAAAGTGTCAAATAAATGTCTGAAATGGACAAATCAACTCTTGAACAGCTAACTAGTTTCAATGGCCAGTCTGGTTTGCAATGGATATTCGAGCTAAAAGCTTACACACCGACACAAAATAAAAGTTAAACAAACCACACAAAAAAAGATGTTTAAAACCCTCAACCTACCTTGATCTCTGGTGTAGAGTTGAACTGTGGTGGCCCATTTAGAAGAGGCTGACTAGGTTTTGGCTCAATAAAGCTGCTTGGTGTTGGTGAACTAGGTGGATTTACATTTAAGGGCAATAATAAACTGGGTCCAGTGTTGGTACTAATGTTGCTCGGCGGTTGAGAGTTACTGCTGATCTCTTTCCTATGTGAGAAATAAAATAAATAAACTTCACAATAAAAGCTCAAAACTATATGGTAGGCAACAACCTCTTTTTTTACTACATTAAAGAAAAAATTCGGGGTTAAAATTGTCAGCTTCCCACTGGCTAGCATCATAGGACTTGAAAGCCCTGAACATCATTACATGCAAGGTGTGTGAAAGAACTAGGTTTTATCAAATTGTGCTAAAACATCTTTCTAAAAGTGGACATTTTGTTAATTTATAAACGAATTAACATGTAACAGCACTAATAGTGAGGATCATAGCATCAACAACCAAGATTAAAGCTTGCGCAGTCTTTACGGAGTCTAGGCTATACATTATGGATGGCATTTCTGTATGTAAAAGAAAGATTGCATACTCACGCAGTGCTAGTCGGTGGATTGTGAATCACAGATTGGCTTAATTGCACCTGACTGTTATTACTTAGAGTAGAGTCTGCAGAATTCTCCGCTACTACAGAGCTGTAACCTGTTAAATAAAATATCATGGATCAAAGCTCACATACATGTCAAAATTTACAAAAGAAAAATAAGATATTTTGATGGTTAATGCACATATTGAATATAAAGTTCTCATTTTAAAAATGTGTAATGTTTAAGAAAATAGTTAATTTACAAAGAACAGAAAAATATTAGATGTTTCTGCAAGTGTCACTAGGGATCTACAGATTATCGGTTTTGCCGATATTCACCGATAATGAGGTGGGCCGGCGCGTCGCTGGATTGGCGTGTACAGCAGTAGTGGGTGCACAGCGCTCCCTCCTACCAGGCAATCTGTGTAGCGTGGCTGAGCGGCGCAGTGTGCAACGCGGTACAGGAACTTATGTTTCCTGTAACCAGCCGGACTGAAAGGAAGTGCTCACTAAGAGAGCCCTTCCCTGCACTAGGGTACTCTGAAGGAGGAAGAGAAAAAGAAAAAAAAAAAAATCCCACTGGGGTGGGGCGAGGCCACTTAAAGATAAGTGAGAGGAACATTAAGGTGAATGTGGTAGTACCTACAAAACACACAAATATTATTGAAAAAAAAAAACAAACACTGACTGGAATGTATATTTTGTGCATTTATCACTTAAAAAAATTAGCAAAACTATTCTCAAAAACGGTAAATGTACAGATTATCGGTAAACTATCGGCCTGAAAATTCACAGATTATTGGTTCTAAATTTTATTTTTTAAATCAATATCGGTCGATCCCTAATACACACACACACATTTACATGTCTGGATCTGCACAAAGACATGATTTTTCTGCATATTAGCGGCACCTACCCTAGCACTACAAAAGCTGTTTTCTTCTAATTAGTTACATTTGCCATTGAGAGCCTGTTTAATGGACGCACACACTCTTGTATGGAGAAAGTGGCTATTTTACACCTGAACATCCACAGCAGTAAAATTGTGGTTTTGGTACATACATTATATTGGGGACAGAGCTACAGTGTTATTTAATGATATGTAAAATATCTAATGCTATGTAAACTGGAATATTTGTCTTGTTTATATTACATGAACAGATGAAAGCTTTGCTGGTAAATATCACTAAAGTCCTTCACCACTTTATGTAGTCTATGGCTCTTGATGCAAACACACAATTTGGGTTATTCAGTATAGTGTGAACTGTTAGACTTCAAATTCACTTTGAATTCCTAAGGCCAAAGTAGCCAATTTGAAAATATTCTCATTGTCAGAATATGCTTCAAGTACAGGTACTTGGCCTTAAAATGTTAAGTTTGCTTGGGATTCCTGACAAATCGCACTGTATTAAACCCTGAATTTGTATCCCTCTTTTACAGGATGAAAGACATGTGACTACAACCAGCATTATGTTGTAAACTTTCTGTTGCATACGCCCACACCTGAAATAAGGGATACATTTAGGTATATATATCCCAAACGCTACAGTCCTGATGTCTCTAGTCAGGCCAGCCCAACTAGGTTTTTTCTCTACACTATGGCTGTTTTGCCCTTAAGCATGTCCCTTTGAATCCCTGAAAAACTCTGTGCCACATCCACTTAGTGGTAATTACAGCTAAACAAGCTTAGCTGAAAACAGTCTGTTGGGAAGATTGTTTCAACAACATCTATGGGTGGGAGACCGTGCCACTTTAAAGGCTAAACCTTTACTTTTTAATATAGAGTGTTTGCTTGTGTAATGTGCAAAAACACCTAAAGACACCGATCAGGTCAATTATTTGCCTATGCCAGTGATGGCTAACCTTGACACCAAAAATTGTTTCTGGACTACATTTCCCATGATGCTCTGGACTTAAAAGCTAGCTGAGCATCATGGGAAATGTAGTCCAGAAACAATGTATGTGTCAAGGTTAACAATCACTGGCCTATGCCTTAGAATCATAAACTCAGTCTGAAGATGGAACAGCCACCATTCTCTGCAAGAAATAATGAATACAATTGCACAAGCTGCATTAATAGATTTAACCTTTTGTGAGTTAATGTTTTACAGGGGGGGTTGCAGAACATGAAATTACTTGACCAAGTTTAGTTACATGCTCTATAGTCTATTTAACCCCTTAAGGACACATGACATTTCATGATTCCCTTTAATTCCAGAAGTTTGGTCCTTAAGGGGTTAAAGTTCTTCAACAGCCGCTGAAAACTATCAGCATGTCCCAGGATGTAATGCAATCAATTAGGGTGTCGTTAAGGACCAAATAAAGTCTATGCGGTCATCTGCTAAAGGATCCAATTTGAAACTGAAATGACCCACACAGTTAAAGCATCTCTGTATGAAGATGCCAAAACTAAATTGTAGCAAATGTACCAATAGGGATTAATCAAATTCTGGAAATCAGAATGCAGCCTAAAGTAATAAGTTGTAACTATAGATACATGCTTAAAATCACTTGCAAATTACAAAATAAATTAGCAACCAAATACAGTTATTGGGTTTCAACTAAAGTCCTAAATACAGTGCGCTTTAAGATAGAGATATTATATACATATATACACACACACACACACACACACACACCTACTCATAATTGTGATTTTAATATTTTACATGAAGCTGCAATTCTAACCTGAAGAAATAGGTCTCCTAAGGTTTACATGTGCCACCACTGCTTAGATGTAGCACTAACTATTCTTGGGTAAATTTGACTTGCCAAGCACAAGGAGATAAATAATGCACAACAAATGTTATCAGTCAGTGCACTCATCACCACTTCAAGGTGCACTAATTATACACACACTGAAAGCTTTGCAATTCCCAATGTCCTTGCTCAATGGATGGACAACTAGAAATGGGAAAATCAGCATCTAAATGAGGCATTAGGGCGAGGCACAGAACTGCTTCTTAAATGGGATCTTTAACCCCTTAAGGACCAAACTTAAGGAATAAAAGGCAATCATGACATGTCACATGTCATGTGCCCTTAAGGGGTTAAACTAAACTTAAGTGTAAAATGCCATTAATTCAAAATGTGCTGTCAAAATACAAATAGCTGTACAATTATTTTAATGTGTAAAATTAATTAAAAACCATGGAAAAAATAAAAATACACAAAAAAAATATTCCAAAATTAGTTAGGTTTTAAGTGTTGCACTCATCTAAAATTTGAAATTTACCATCATTTCAAAAAATCTGTTTTAGAGAATAACTCCACAAGTGTCCAGTTTTACAAGTGGCACTTATGCTATACAAATTCATAACATACACATTGCTGTATGTTATGAATACCCATCAAACATATGGGGACATTCTCTCTCTCCCCCCCCCCCACTGTATTAAACATCAAAAGAGAACCATTTCCCCCTAACATAGCAAAAAAAAAAAAAAAAAAAAAAAAAGTAATGTATTTAAAGAAGAGTTTAAGCCTAAATATAAGCCAAATAATGGAACATTACACGGTTAATGTAGGTCACATACCTTTCCTGGGAACCATTAAGCTACCAGCATAGATAGCACACATGCCAATTAGCCCTAATCCACATTTGGAATACATTTCACTTTCCTGCACTTCGTAGAATCCAAGAGACACAAAACAAACAAGCAACCAAAAGGAGGAAGTAAAAGCAGAGTGCATGCTGGGGTCTATTATGGGATGGTGAGAGGGAGTGGCTTGTTTATGTCACACCCATTGTAGCAGATGTGTGGATTTCTGTTGCAGGAAAGACCAGGTGTTCAAGGAGGTGTTTCCCCTTAGCCAGTTTGTAGTCCTAGTCATAGCTACATTTAAAGGAACAGTACACACAGCGCTTCATTTGTCAGGAGTCTGCTATTTGTGTGCAGAAATCAGCACTTTTACAACTGGGAGGGAGAAACACCGCCCCTTGCTCTCAGAAAGCTAGGGAGGCTTTTTTTCTCTTATGTTACATTCCCAGAGCTAGCAGAACTGGGAGGCATGATCGCTATTGCTTGCCTGCCTTCTCTCCTTTTTAATAAGCCAATTGAAAAAGCAAAGGAAACCAGTGTGAGCATCTTCGTGTTTCCAGCACAGACGTTTCTCAGCAAGAGCCCTCTAACTGGAGTATTCACACACAGGGAAAAAAAAGGGAAGGCTTGCAAAGATTGAAAACAGCAGGTCTGAAGCTTTGCAAACTGTTTATTCATATACCTTTCAAAAAAAAGTAAAAAATTATAAAATAAAATATATAGTTAAAAAACAAACAAAAAACAAAAAAACATCCAGTGGCATTCCTTTAAACTGTTAAGCAGTTTTCCATTAAAGGGATGTGTCCGCCTAGGTTGTGTCACCATGTTGGTTATAGAATACACAGATAATGCAAAATACTAAAGCTTTAGGATTTTCAGTTCTATCTACACCAGAAAGTAACTGAAAAGGTTTCAGCTAACCCATCCCCTATTACATTTACTTAACATTACAATGTAAATGCAGAGTATAGCCTATAAAGTCCAGCAATGTGGGATTTACAGAATATGAAGTTCAACCAAAGCAGCATTTTAATTTGTGCAAATATCTGAAAGTAACTACAAGCTGGTTTCTGGTAGCTTACCAACTTATTTTGTATATTTTACCAGTTGTGCTATTAATGCGAGTAACTTCACATAGGTTAGATCTGAGAAGAAGTTGGTCAAATGAGTTGTGTATTCCATCTGCATGCATGGCCAGGAAGAACTTCACCCCCACAGTAGCATATTTTGAGCATAGATAGGCAACACCCTAGCAGACACTGCTAGCACTGGCTAGGGAGTATTGGGCATGGAGTGACTCACATCACTCTGTTCAGTTGCTGGCAATGAAGTCAGTCCCTGCTTGTGAAAGGGCCCACACACAGGGCAAATAAATGAAGACAGCAGGAGGAGCTTTGGTGAGGACATGGCAGCACTGGATCAAAGTGTGGTGTTGGTAATGGCAGGTTCATGTATCATGGTCACCATTTACTGGAGTTTTTCCTTAAAAGGTACACTGTATACACCCAGACAACTTCATTTCTTCGCAATGTTCCTGTCTCCCTTAGTCCTGCAATGTAAAATATTGCAGTTTTGAAGAAATTGCAATGTTTTCATTGCAGTACTAAGACTGCCTATAGTCCACTTTCAGGACTTTACCAAACTCTGGACTGTCTAAATGATGCTGGGCGTCCTCATACCCAGCATGAAGACATTTAGCTTCAGTGAAATCCCCATATAAAATAGCTTTCCTAATGGGAGGGCCTAATGCGCACTAGGTCCCCTCCTTTTGATAATGTCAGAGGTGAGTAAACAAAGGGTTTTTAACCCCCTACATGCCGGAGGGGAGGAGAGGGAAGATGGACTATGGACATACCATTTTAAATTTAGACCACTGCAAACTGCTGATAACTTTGATCAAAATATATGTTTAACCCCTTAATGACTGGGCCAAATGTACACATTGTGATCAAAACAAAACCTTGAATTTGCGCTATATGTCTGTTCAGGCGTAATTCATCTCTTTCATATTATGTGCACCCACACTATCATTTTATTCAGGGGAAACAGGGCTTTCATTTAACATCAAATATTTAGGTCTAAAGCATAATTTAAAGGGACACTATAGTCACCAGAACAACTACAGCTTATTAAGTGTTCTTGCATAGCAAGACCACTTAATGTTAGCTCACATATATATTATTAAGTGTTCTTGCATAGCAAGACCACTTAATAATAATATATATGTGAGATAACATTAAGTGTTCTTGCATAGCAAGACCACTTATTGTTATCTCACATATATATATTATTCTTATTAAGTGTTCTTGCATAGCAAGAACACTTATTGTTATCTCACATATATATTATTATTCTTATTATAGCCAAATTTGCCACCCTAACTCCTCCCACAGTTTTTACACTACATAGACAAAAATTTACCAAAACGTGCAGATTGTTCCCGATCGGATTGCTATTACTTTGTGGAACGTTTCGCCGAATGGTTCACGGAATATCGTCGTTCTTGTGGCAAAATTTGTCCCATAGGAATGAATGGCAAAGCTAGAGTGGGAGCTGGCAAAAGCTGAAAAATCAGGACATGATTTCTAAACTGCCACCACTCCCTTATTTTCAGGCCCACCTACACAAATCTTATATCACGTTCAGCTATCCCTGCTGCCACTAAACAGGTCAACGGCTAAGCCATAGTCCTGATAGTTTTCACAATATAATCATTTGTTTGCATCTAACGCCGTCCATTGACATTCATTGAAACTTCACTCTACAAAGCTCAAATTTGAAGTGCAATTTCTAAACTGCGACTGTGCCTTAATTTTTAATACTTCAGAGACATGCATCAAAACGTAGGTCTGGGTCTCGTGATTCTCACAATATAAAGCTCTTCGCTGTAGGATTTATAGTTTTTAAAATACGACCGTTTGAAGATGGCAACCGCCAAAATACTCTGACCTGTGTCAGGCTGCAGCAGCAAGTGATGTCATAGACAGGGCCTTTTGAACACCTGCTAATGTTTTTATAAATGTATGGTTTAATGTAACTGTGCAACAACGTTGCAATTAAATGTGCTATGTAAATGATAACAGTTACTCCGCCCACTCCAGTTGTAGACTACTGGTGGTGGCAAGAACACTTCACACAATTTCCCCAGAAATTGTAGCTTTTCTAGTTGAATTTGTTCTGATGAGTAGAATCATTACCTTCAGGCTTTCTCCTGTAAACACTGTCTTTTCAGAGAAAATGCAGTGTTTACATTACAGCCTCGTGATAACTTCACTGGCCACTCCTCAGATGGCTGTTAGAGATTCTTCCTGGGTCATGACTGCCTAAAATGCATCCAAACATTCAGTGTCTCCTCCCTCTGCATACATTGAACTTTCCTCATAGAGATTCGTTGATTCAATTCATCTCTATGAGAAGATGCTGATTGGCCAAGGCTGTGTTTGAATTGTGCTGGCTCTGCCCCTGATCTGCCTCTGTCAGTCTCAGCCCATCCTATGGGGAAGCATTGTGATTGGATCAGGCCACCACTTCTGATGTCAGCAGACTGCTTGTTTTTCTGAGGCAAACAGCATACAGATCTACAGCTTCAGGCTTGAATACAGTAAGCTTTGGTATATTTATGGAGACAAGAGTGGCCCAGGGAGGCTAGATGGTGGTTTTAACACTATAGGGTCAGGAATACGTGTGCGTGTATATATAATATTATATTTTAAACGGTTTTAAAATATTTTCAGGCAAAAGGGAGAGTACCTGTTATTACAGGCACTCCCCCTGCTGGCATTGCTGTGGACAGCTATGCCGTTCATGTGACAATGAGGTCCTCACAAGGACGGACCTTGCGATCACATGGCCCAGGAGGGCCGGAACGGGAGCAGGGGGACACCCCGGGATGCCAGGTAAGTCCCCCACCACAATCTCTGGCGACCTGGTAAGCGAATAGGACGGCCAAAGGAGGAGGTGAGTGTTTAATCCCTTTCCTCTCCATTCAGCCCGGCGGGAGTAGGACGAGTTTGCGTTCCTGACACTATAGTGGTCCTTTAAGGGGATTAAAAAATTTGCACTTAAAAAAAGTTACATTACTGAAGGAACACTCCAATGGAAAAATTTAAGATATACCCATTGATGAAAACATTTATGAAAAGACCACATCATCTCCGTTAATTGGCTTGGGTGCAGTGGTCCTTTAAATTTATTCGTGCAATGTATAACATTGCAGGGTTAAAAACACTCCAGTGGCTGTCCAACTGACATCCACTAGAGATGCATCTGCTACAATGACAGTAAAAATCAGTAACGTGACGTTGTAACTAATAGAAATACATTGAATGAGGAGCATTTGACTGGACCTGTGATAGACGATAGACCTGTGAGCAGCGTCAAGGGAGTCTTGCTGCAGGAATATGTAAGCAAAAGGTATTGAAATATTTTCATGGCAAAGGAGGGAGGGGAGGCCCTGAATCTATCTAGGAATAGGAGTACTAGAGCGTTAGCCATACAAGTTTGTAGTTCTAAAACTATAGTGGTCCTTTCATTATGATTTTTTAAATTGTGTTTATATCCAGGTACTCTGGGTAATTGCTACCTTTTGAGTTTAGTGCCACTGTGTCTAACCAAACCAGGAAGTAATCGGTTGTCTGACAGCTAGATGGAGTGTAATAAGGTTTATTTGTAAAAGTGGCAGTTTTTATTGTAATCTGCACATTTCGTTTTCCATTTTACGAAGTAACACACTCTTCACACAAAGGACTTCAGCAAGCTAAGGTGCTTTAAGTGTGTGGAATTTCCCTTTAAAGAGACAATAAATTATGCAGTTCAACATTTTACCCGTTGTCCATTTTCTGTTTCAATGTAAAAATAGATTTTTTTTTTAATTTTAAAGTACTGTGATGGAGTTCAGTACAAAAAGGCATCAGCAGAGGTCTGGCATGGTAAACAAGTACCAATGCTTATGTAGCCTATTCTAAATAGCCAGCCCAGCAGATGGGACTCCAGAGAGGAGGTAGTTACCCTTTTTTACCCCAGTGTCAGGTTGTGCTCCAGGGATAAAATGCAGGTGGCACGTCTCCCCAGCAGCAGAAGCAGCTCCAGGGAAAGGAGATATGCAGCCACTCTCTCCAGCGAAAGAATGTAGTCCAAAGACAGGGTGCAGGCGGTGTATAAATATGGGTGAATTGGTTGAAAAAGTAAATACTTTTTTCTACACTCATGTAGTCTCCGCTAATGTTTGGGTGAGGTGCTATAATCACTGAAGGTGTCCTGCTGGACAATGGGGGAGATTGATGAAGATACACAGGCTGACTGAAGATCTCAGTGACACAGACATTATAACCATTGCATTAAATAAAAATGTTTTAGTGTGCCTGGATTACCCTCAATTTGTAAAGGAACATTTTAGGGTTAGGAATACAGCATTCTATTCCTAACACAAAAATTTTCCTCTGCCCACCCTCCCTCGGACGCCCCCATGCAACACTCAAAGGATTAAATAACCCTTCATTTCACTCAACATTCCTGGCTTGCTCTCTGCCTCTTTGGATGGCTACCTAATGCACATGCATAGCGAGCAATCTTATTAATCCTTTCCTATGGGGATTTTGAAGACGCTGGATGTCCTCATGTACATGTGACTTCATGAAAGAACAAAAAGTGCCTCTGGTGGCTGCTTCATTAGGCTGAGACAGTAAAGGAGGCAGATCATGGGCAGAGCCAGCAGAAGCCAAACACAGCCCTGGCCAATCAACATCTCCTCAAAGAAATGCATTAAACCAATGCATCTCTATGAGGAAAGTTCAGTGTCTCCATGCAGAGGGAGAAGACACTGAAAAGCAGTGCAGCACTGTCCCAGGAAGCACCTCTAGCAGCCATTGAAGAAGGAGTCACCACTGGAGTTATCACTAGGCTGTAAGGTAAGCACTGCATTTTCTCTAAAAAGATACTGTTTACAGCAAAAAGCCTGAAGGGAATGGTTCTACTCACCAGAATAAATACAAGCTGTAGTTGTTCTGGTGACTATAGTGTCCCTTTAAGCTAAAGTTGCTTTGGTACGGAGAGTAAACATTTCAAGACAAAACTCACATGGACATCCTTGATTATTTCTAAGAAATATTAAAGGACAACTGTCCCCTCAAAACTATTTAATATAATAATAGTTTCATTACATTAAAAAAATAAAAAATAAAGAATAACTGAAGAAAATACGTTAGAAAGTGAGAAAAATGTATTCCTACCTTTAGTATGTGGCAGGGTCCTTCAGTCATATAATGCACCTTGGGTCAGACAGGGTTTTAAAACAGACAAATAATCTCTGTAGTTTTCTCTGCACAGAACTAGGGAAGACTAAAGAGACTGTCGATTTTCAAACACTGTCTGACCCAAGGTGCATTATATGACTGAAGGATCCGGTCACATATTTAAAGGAAGGTATGAGTTTTTCTTTTTACATATGGTTCATTAAACACAAAAACTTGATGAAAGGATCATTATATTAAAATATAGTTTTGGGGTGACAATTGTCATTTAATGCTACATACAATATGGCAGCATTTGTCAAGAGATGCCTTTTAGCGTGTAGTAATACATGTCCAGGGACACATCGTGGATATAGCAATCCCATGCCAACTATTTCGCCTTCTCCATAGTACAGTCACAATACTAGTTTATTCCAATGATCATAAAAATGCAATTTTTAAGGGTCCATTATTAAAACAAAAACAGCAGGCTACAAGAACTGAATGTCTGAAAAATATATAAAGCATTGTACAATGCTTTCCTTTGGGATAAGTCATAATGCGAGCACGGCCATCACCGTGCATGCACATTAGGTCTTGCCAGCTTAAGTCAGCAGAGTCTGAGCCAGCGCCGATGTCCCAATGGTATCAGGTAAGGGACAGAAGAGGTTTATAATCCATTCTGCATCATGGGGCACATTATCATTGCACTTTACAGCTACACAAGTGAAGCTTAAAGGTATAGCAGTCATCCTAGAAAGGGAACTTGCCGATAACTAAAAATAAATGCTGCATTCCCACTATCAAATTCTTAGTCCAGATTTGTTTAGTCAGTTTTAATAGTCAACATTGTGACAGCTGTAGAGGTTAAATGTAGATATCAAAAGAGGTAGGACAACAAAACACAGAGCCATTCTGGCTTTGGATCTTTATAAGCGATGTTTCTGCACAATAAGTTGTGGAGGTTTTGGGCCTCTGCTGTGCATACCAGGGGAAAAAATCCCCCTAAAGTACAATTCAGTCGACTTGATAAAGCACCAGATTGCAATGAGAGTATTGGAATTCACATATTTATCAACATTTTTAGCCAACAGTCCCCAAATGTAACGCATTATATGCAATATCAGCTTAGGTGTCCTGCATTCAAATTCAAAAAAAAAAAAAAAAATGAAAAGCAAAATAAATGATCTAAATGGCAATTTGTGAATATACTAATACACTGAATCAACATCAAAATGGAAAAAAAATATTTTTTAGTCAATAGGTATGGAAAGACACATTGGCTGCAGAAAGAAATATCTGTATTCAAATAAAAAGAAATATACATTTTCTGCACATGCAGCAATGAAATGACTTAAACTTACTTGATGCTCCATTCTGCTTGCTCGCATTCTGCTGGGCACTTGGTGGCCTTGGCTGGGAAGTGTTTGTACTAGATGGTGGAGGAGCCACAGCCTGTGCGTAAGGTGTCGGTGTACCAGAGGTATGCACAGTAGATGGGTTATTTTTGCTATTGTTGCTGCTCGTACTGCTGCTGTTAGATACTGATCCATTGCTATTCGTACCCGGCCCGTTTCCAAGAGAAGAGGACGTGCTTGAACTGCTTCCTATCTGGTAACTAGTAGTTACTGCAGGAGACTGCGTATGATGGTTATTAAGGATGCTTTTAGAACCGTTCTTTGCTGGTGACTAAAATAATTTTAAAAAAAATTTACGTGAATTTAACATGAATGAGAAACAAACTAGCTAAATATAATTAAACTAAGTTTTGAGTGTACAGTTGTAGTTTTTCTGCAAGTATGCACAGAGTTGTACTTTTCTAGTTGCAGTTATTTACTGCCCATGGTTTGCTTTGCGTAGGTTTATGTTAAACTACATGAGCTAAGTGACATGTCAACATTTCAAGAATGTAATAATAGGAAGAAAGAGGAAAATGAGAGATGTTGCATAAAAAGCACACGATACCCATAAACTGGATGTGGTTTAGGTTTCAGTTATTTAAATCTAGTACAAGCGTTCAAATCCTGTTATGGAAGAAAATAAGGTCTATGCTACCGATAAATCCATTTTATTATGGAAGTACAAAAGAAATGCAGATGGGCTACAAAATTAACAAGGTGGATTGAGATTTTAGTCATGATGAAAAGCTAGGATACTTGAGCTGGTTTGTTTTAGAAGAGAAGAGGGGAGGGGGCTTAGTGTCAATATGATATTATGGCTACTGTGAAATAAAGAGACAAAAACAGTTCCCTGGTAATTTTACTAATTATTCTGGTAATTAATAATAATTATATCACACATTTAAAAAGAAATGAGATGGGAGGGGGGGGGGGAGGGGCAGTGTGTTTGAGGGGTGCAGTATCTGTGTGTATGGAGGAGTTATTGTGGGGATAAGAGGGCATTTTTAAACAAAAATAATAACTTTCATATCCCCCCCTCCCTTACCTTTGCCTGGGATGGGGGACAGTACTAAACCCTGGTGCTACGGTGGAGAAGCCCTGGTGATCCAAGTGGTGAGAGTTCACTCTAGCAGCTCCTGAGGCTAGTCCACTCTAGCGAGATTCGCAGCGTTGCCATGGTAACTGCAGCAACCCTCCGAGTTCGCAAGAGGAGAACTCGTCGAAACTGCAGGTTAGATCTCTCCCGGGTCCTCTCTCCCTCCCCTGCCGCATTTCAGTGCTAGCGGGCCGGTGAGGGAGATCTCTGATCTCCCCTCCGGTCCTGCAAAGGACAGCGAGGTACAGTTCCCAGTGCTATAATCATAGCACCAGGGAAACATTTTACATTGCCCCTGTGTGCCTGGGGCGGCGTCCTGGAACACATTTTGTGAACCGCTGCTCTAGATGCTTCATGGGGTAACAAAAAAAAAAACCAAAAACAAAAAAAACAAGGGAGTATTCAACGATATAATAGTTAACATGTAAGGTAACATTTAGTTGATCCAAAGAGATCGGACATTTTGGAATCAAGAAGAATCAGCCCCCTCCATTTTGTGGTAAAATTAAAAGTCACTTCAAAATGGGATTTTAATTTTCTTTGGGATTAACTGCAGAAACAGAGATGTGTGAATGGTTGAACAAGAATCTGTTTTTCAACCTATACTACCAAGTCATTATGTAAATGCTCATTGGATGGTTATGATACTCTTCATTGTTCTGATTTTCATGGAAAGTGTAGCATTTAAACAATTTCCCATCTGCCCAAATGTATATATCCTGCCAATTTCTATTTCCTAAAAACTGGCTACTGGAAATTACACAAAACAGGAGACTGCAAATTTCAAATTTTGTCTACACTTCAATAATTTCAAAGCATTAAACACATAAAGAAGCATCTACCCATCTAGCAAGAACAAAAAACAAAAGAAAAATAAATGCTTACAAAACCCACCTGGCTAATTTCACTGTCTGTCGATCTGCCTCGAATCTTTTTATCATCTTCTGAGTTTTCCTGAAATAATTTAATGTATGTATTGATATTTTAAATGGTCATACTTTAATGTTTATTCGCTCAACAAATAGAAGTAATTTGTTAATGCATTCAAAGTCGATGCAGGCCAGATTTTCGTTAACAGTCACTTACAGTCGTACAGTTGGCCGGACTGGGTGGAATTGGGGAACTTGATGTAGTGGAGGTGGGAGTGCTGCTAGACTGGTTAAAGATCTCATCCTCCATGTGACTGTGGCCTGGTGGGGAAGTAGCTACCAGCGCCTGTGCTGAAAAAGAGAAAGAACAAAATGGTTAAGAAAACGCAGTTACTTTTTCAAGGTTACATTTGATGACAAGTAGTGTTGATAGCTCTCTAAATCCTGCTCCACATTCATGCACTTTTTTTTATATGAATGAGGCATGCTATTTCTATATGATAAAGGGTGGAATCCAAGGTATGAAAAAATAAAATGAGATTTTTTGCATAACATTTTATCAAATACAATGTACGTTTTGTGACTGAAGTGTTCAAGGAACAGTGGTAAAAATCTCAATGAAGTGGTCTCAGTGCAGTGGCTCTGGTCATTTTCACCGTGCAATGTTTTACTGCAGTTTTGTAGAAACTACAATGTTTACATTGCAGTAAAACACACCTCTGGTGGCGGTCTTTCATGACAGAGTAAATCGGGTCACGTGACATTGATGCTCACAAGTAATCACTAAATTCAATGATTTCCTATGAGAAGCAATTGATGAGCGCGCTTGCTCATCAGGTCCCCAATGCAAATATAGGATAAGTATTAATGTGGTACTCTTACAGAAGTAGTTTATTTTCTCATTGTATCACAGTTAAAAGTTGTCATAAACCTAAAACAAGTTTAAAACCAGTAAAAAAAATATTATCTATGTACTCTTAAGAGGCAAATCATTCCAGAATTATACACACACACACACACATTAAGTATTGTATGGCCTAAGGTTTTGTGTAACTTAAGGTATAACTAGTATCATAGGACTTCAAACTTTGTGTGTGTGTGTATATATATATATATATATATATATATATATATATATACACACACACACACACACACATATATACACACACACATACACATACCCCCCTCCCCCATGAATACTGCTCTCTACCGTTTGATGTTAATGCAATTGCGTAATATATATACAAAAATAACGATTGGCACACTCATGGGACTTTCAAAATGTGTGAAAGTCACACACTTGGTTTTTAATACCTATTAAAACAAAGAGGGCTGAACATGCATATATGAATTGCTGGGGTCAATTCATACAACATACAAGATCCAGCACACTCAGTCACAAATGTATGTTTTTTAAAACCTAGGTAAAACGACTGGGTGTTTAGTTACAGTATATGATCATACATTGAATAAGCCTGCCACAACATCAATGTACCCAATAGGGCCCTATGTAACCTTGCACTGCAGAGAGGAAGTATTTCCCACGTGAGTGAGTCAATATTAAAAGGACCAGGCATTAGGTTGCTAGGATAAGACAAGCCAAAAAATAGGGTACACATTGGCATTGTGACAGGCTTATGCAATGTGTGATCATTGACTAACCAAACCCCCATTATCTTTGCCTAGGTTAGCCGTCTTTATAAAAAAAATTTAAAATAAAAATAAAAAAAAATTATATTCTGTGATATGAAATTGCTATTTAGTGAATGAATGAGTGTGCTGGATCTTGTAGTGTGAAATGGCTCTCACAATCTTATCAGACGCATAAGAAAGAACTCCTGACCCTAAACTTGCTAACAGACAGCAAACATGAAGACTCAGCAAATGATCCGTTAATGACTGAATTTAATTCCAACATGAAGGCAAGCCATCATCAAGGAAATAAATTCCTGGAAAAGTGGTGTTGCCGAAAGTAGACTTCCTGTAGCTTGACACACCACACATAGACATACACACACAACATTTTTATTTTTTTAAACTCTCTTTTCAGTTCTGCCTGTAAATAGTATTCAAAACTTATAAGATAGAGATTATATATATATATATTTTTTTAAAGCTACTTACGAATGTCTTCTAAATCAAGGTCATCATACAGGAACTCATTCTCTTCAAAGTCTGGGTCTTGGGAAGAGTCCACATAATACTCTACATCATCTTTAATCTTCCGGATTGAATCCACATTGATCGAATCGTTGTCCAACATTCGCAGTATGGTCTCAAGCATTCGTATGTGGAACCTATGCTTCTCTATGTGCCGCTTCAGCCCCTCTATCCTGTCCTGCTTCTGCTGACACCGGCATAAAGGGTGCCGCAAAGAAGAAAATGCATACAATGGAGGTAAATCCCAGTGTTTTCTCTATAAGTTTACTTTGCAAATATGCTATTTATACAAAATCAAACTGTTTACAAGACGGAAACATTAAAATTATGTTTATATGGATTTTTTTAGCAGAAGTCGCAACTCTCACATGCAGCCCTTTTGTTACAGTAATAAAAGTACATTTTAAGGACAAAAGGACTGAGAGTCTACACAAACAAATGACCAGAACTGGTTATGAATACCAGAACATAAGCAGATTCAACTCACATCCTTATCTCCTTTCTTCTTCCTGGTTTGTACGGACAAAGATTCAACCTCACTTTCAAACTGATCCACTCCCATGTTCAATGCATCAATTGTGTTCTGTGTGGAACAGACAAATACAATGTTTTAGTAAATAAATATGAGGCAGTCCTTTATCAATGCACAAGAATAACCTAAAGAAATGATAATCAATTATTCACCCAATCTGTTACAGCAGTGATTCTCAACATTTTACAGAGCAGTACCCCATCAGATCTAAAAAATAAATCCTAAGTACCCCATCCTTTAAGAAAGTAATTTATTTTGATTTAAATTCCAAATGAAACATGTAAACACAGATATCCAAGTTAATCCAATATTGAAGAACAAGCTTGCTTAAATTTAGCAAAGAATATTTTAAATAAATATGACAATGGGATTGTGTATGAACTATTAATATGAAGTATAAAAGTCACAAAATTAAAACACACGAATAACAGTTACACAGAGAGGACACGGACGCACACATTCCAACACAAATTCTTTTATACAAGGTATCCAATAACGGCACAAAACCTACATTGTTTCACCACTGCTCTAGCTGCCGTATCATCCCTCTATTAGGGCCAACATTGAACAAAAAGATATGTCACCAAGCACCGGTGTGGTGTTCTGGATACCATCTTCAGTATACCTCCTACATCCGTTACAATTTGGAACTTTGGAGGGATGCAAGTACAACCTAGTATAAATAGAGGTAATTGACTCAATTTGCTATATATTTTGCCAATTGCCTACATTGTTTGGTTTGGTTATTACTCACTGTATCCTAAACACCCTGAACTTCAATTGTCCCTGTATAGACAAATATTGACAGGCAGGCGGAAAGCTGAGCCCTTCCCATTGCATAGAATAACAGCCAAGGTCAGTGTGAGGTTGGCCTCACCCACCATCTCGTCCTTCTCAACCTCCTAGGACAATAACTTGCGAGTCCTCAGAAGACAATGTCACTGAGCCAGACATCACCAGGGAGAGCTTGGAATGGGGCAATGAACCCACCTGTCACGCCAGAGGTGAAGAAGCTATCCAATGTGGCAAGTTTGGCAGCTGTTGGGGAATATCTAACTCGTCTAATTAAACACCAGCCTCTGTGCGCAGCACGAGTATTGGCAGGACCGGTTTGGGACTATTTTGAGCTGGTGCTTCCTCTGTTCCTGGCATACCGCATTGTGATGGTAAACTTGTAAGTAGAAACAGATGGAAACACACTTGCATAGTTCCAGTATCCACTACAAGAGTTTTGGAAAAGAGGCCTCTGCAGCACACTTTAAACACCGTAAATAACAATGAAAGCTCCTCTTCAATTCTTACCGTTAGCCACTGGCCGACCTCTTCTTTTTCTTTCTGTGCTGGGTCCACCTTTTGGGCAAGACCGAGCCCTTCCTTAGAGTATGCTTTTGTCTTTGTCTCTCGCTCTACCACTTTAAACCTTTCCATTTGCTAGAAGCAAAAAGAACATTTATTTGTGCTGCATTTTAAACATTCTCAAACCTACAACAGTACCTTCTAACATTCTGCAGGCATTCCACTCATTATATAAGCCGTATACAATACTGCTGGGCTCTATTCACAACAGTCAATACGTGTTCTCCCTTCCCTTTAATGCAAAGATCATTTTCGTAAACTATTATATAGGAGCTGCAAAATTTAGGACAAAATAAGAGATGGGGGAAAAAAATGCCAACTATGGAACTGCAAATCCTTTCCAGCTTCCCTACTTTGCCATAAATGTTGTCAGTGTGTCACAGCTCAGTTTGGTGAATAAACCCATGGTCATCCACGTGACTAAAGAAGGAAACATGGCGTTTTGATTGAACCATCAGTCAAAACACTAAAAATCATAGAATTTTAAATGAAATGGTACTGAAAAGATTTTGTTTTATTCCTTACAGTTTCTATAAGTTTCCGGTTATCAATAAGCTGCCTTTTGTCTTTGATCTCATTTGATGCTACCCATGTCTTTATTTGGTCCCGCAATCTCTGCACAAAAAATAAATACAAAATTAAAATCATCTTTAATAACATTCCTTATTTTTCCATTGATCGAGAATATATCTAAAATATTCAAACAGAGACAGTGTTAATATCATATTTTAAACAAGCAAAAAATAAAATAAAAAAATATATATTTTAATTTATTTAAAAAGCATTATTCTTATTACCCTGAGAATTGTGTAGGTCAATTTTTATTTGTATACTTGAGGTGTCATTCCACCTTCTCTACTAAACAGGACACCTTTTACAATCAAACTCGAATTCTGAAGAATATATTTGATTACAGTACGCATCATTTATCATTATCTAGCCTGCTGTGATATCCCAGGTTCATTTAAAGCGGAACGGCCAACCCCAAAAGGGAGTGTTTCATAAAGATAAAATTACCATAAGAGGGAACTATACACTGCAGAGGATTATGGGTGTTGCACAGCTGTGAAAGTAGAATTTATTTTAGTTGTTTTTGCTTGAAGCACTGATTTTGCAAATAGAATATGCTCTCTCAAAAAAAAAAACACACACAACGGCTCTAGAGATCCCTGTATGAAATGGTCAGGCTGGGCACTTGCTGGAAAGGTCGCCATTTTCTCTTGGAAGTAGTGGACAACTGGGTGATGTAGGTGGTGTTTTTTTATATGAACAATCAGCCTACAGCCACTAGAATAAAGTGCTTGGAAATCTCTTTTTAGATTAGGTTTCAGTTGGAATTTCACCATTAAAATCTGGTTTTGGAATCAAGTTTGAATTTTAGCTCTTATTCTGACTAGCTGAAAACATCAAAATGCCAATCTGTATGCATGTTTGATATCCAATTTGCTGGTCCTCCACAGATTGCATACACTACAGGCATTCTGCTTTTTCTATATAGACACCATCTAAATTAAGGCATTACTGACTTTTACTAGCACTTTATTGTCTAGGTGGAACAGCATCTTTAAAAAGAAAATGACTGATAAAAACCTGTAGCTTTTTAATTTCCTTCTTTAGGTCTGCTTCATATTTCTCTTTCTGGTTGGCATTTGCTGCATTGTGAAGCTGTAAAAATGAACAGCAAAGACTAATCAGCAAATTATTAAAAACAAACATATTTCAGATAATTATAAACATAAATCCATGCCCAAGATTATTTAAAACATACACAGTTTAAATACAACAATGCTTGTTACATCAGAGACAGGCATCAATGTTTTTGTTTTGTTTTAAATATAGAATATTATAACCCAGTGGAGAATATAAATCTCACTTCCACATGAAAATTGGAAATTAATAATGCCAAGAAGTGATACTACTAGATCAAAACGGTCTACCTAATCCATTTAGTGACAGTTTCAATTAGAACAATATATAAGCAGCCAGCAACCAAAAACCACAACAGGATCTACTCTAATTGTCAAAGATTGTTGTGTGTGCACATGTGGGAATGAATCCTATTAATATAATTTTGCCTGTAGAAAACTTTCTGCACGGATGTAAGTGTCGTGCTGTACCAGTGCCTGAAGCCAGCCACCCATTTATTGCTATTTTGATTCTTCCTGTATCATCACCCATGTTAGTCCCAGTTGCAAGTGTATAGCTCAAGAGTTATTTTTATGTTTTGTTTTTCGGATTTCTTTAGCCTTTCCTGCTACGTTAGCAGTAAAAACTACAAAAATAGATTGAACGTGCACCAACACACAGTATGTCACAAAGTGGAGATGGCACTCACCCTCATTTGTATGAAATCCAGTGGCTAACCCACAATCATCCCAAAAAAAACAAAAAAAACAAACAAACACAGGACTGCAATCACATAGAAAGCTTATACACTGACAGGTAACAGTCTTTCTTAAATTTTAGAAAGGCTCACAATAAAGCTGAATTGTTGCTGTTACCAATCTGTGATTAAACCTTCCATATGGATGCAAACTGTGTGCCCATACCCACCGAAGGGCATACTATTTGAGTGGTTGATCGTTCTCAGTATTCTCTTGCACCTTGTTTTTTTGCTCTGCCCAGGCACCTGCACACACGAATAGTTAGATGCTGCAAGAGTTACCTGGGGTGAGGCCACTGTGTGTGTTGTGGCCAGTTCATCTTCATCTTACCTTTTGCCAGATGTCTTCAAACTGCTCCACACCTTCTGAGACCTTTTTCAAACACCGGTCAATTTCACCTGAAAGATTAAAGTAAAGTGAGATTAAATTGCACATCACCTTTTCTTTGAATTCTGCTTCAATAATGAGAGAAAATATGGTACAGTAAGATGGTACCTATGAAAATACACTCAGAAGCATGTTATAGCTCCTATTGCACAATACACTATTTTCAGGTTTTGTACATGGGCTTAGCTTTGCAAACCATTCTTCAATTGTAAAATAAACGTCATCTCTAACGTTATAATAAAATACATTTTACCAAAGGACTTCACACTTTGCTCAGAGTAAAAGCCTCTCAATTCAACTTCCCTTGGGAAGACAACTTTCGCAGAAAGCAATGTTGTCTGGGGGCATAAAGAATATATATTAAATGAAAGGAGCATGGGAATCAAGGTTTAGGTTCAAAACACATTCTATTTAAGGTGTCTGTCACTTTTTAAACATTTAAAAAAATAAAGCCAAAATGTATTTGAAATTCAAGCGCAATTAAAAAATATACAAGAGACAGAGTAGTGAATACTTTGTCTCATGTAATTGGCCATCTGTGGCTAAAGGTTAAGATTCAATTTCCTATCAGCAGTTGGTGGCAATGGTTAATTACCTTGTACAACAGATGCATTGACATCATATTGTGCATGCACGATATTATCTAGGAAAGATCCTATAAGACCCTCCAGAAACTCCATTTTGTACTCTGGTGCAAAAGTACAATAGAGAGACAACGGCCTCTGGTAGATAGGCTTGTCAGGAATTAGTATAAAGGCAAGAAGATAATGCAGAGGAGGCACAGTTTAAAATAAATTTATCACCCTATCTATCCCAGTCACCACTATGAAAATGGGCAGGTCATTGCAAAAAAAAAAAAATGCACAAAGATCCCACAAGTGACAGTGCTGCCTTAATTATTGTTCTGATTGTTGAAAACTATATAAAAAAAAAAAAATCCTTTTGATTAAAAAGTAATGAAAAATATTTGTCTGACACCCCGAACAACCTTTTAGCACTGCCATTATTTCACTACAGTTCTCAGCACTGCATTTACCAAACTTGTATGCAAACATTCAGAGCGGTGAGAAAATTATATTATATTAATTATATATATATATACATACACATATACACACACACACACACACACACACACACATATATACATACACACACAAATACATACATACATACATACACACAGTTGCAAGAAAAAGTATGTGAGCCCTTTTGAATGATATGGATTTCTGCACAAATTGGTCATAAATAGTGATGTCCCGAACTGTTCACCGAACGGTTCGCCGCGGACTCATCATTGAGTAAACTTTGACCCTGTACCTCACAGTCAGCAGACCCTCCCACCTCCTGGACAGCTCACTAAGAATGCAGCTTCACAATGGATGCTGTCCAGGAGGTGGGAGGGAGGGTCTGCTGCTGATTGGCTGGAATGTGTCTGCTGACTGTGAGGTACAGGGTCAAAGTTTACTCAATGATGAGTCCGCGGCGAACCGTTCGGGACATCACTAGTCATAAAATGTGATCTGATCATCATCTAAGTCACAACAATAGACAATCACAGTCTGCTTAAACTAATAACACACAAAGAATGAAATGTTGCCATGTTTTATTGAACACACCATGTAAACATTCACAGTGCAGGTGGAAAAAGTATGTAAACCCTTGGATTTAATAACTGGTTGAACCTCCTTTGGCAGCAATAACTTCAACCAAAGGTTTCCTGTAGTTGCAGATCAGACGTGCACAATGGTCAGGAGTAATTCTTGACCATTCCTTTTTACAGAACGGTTTCAGTTCAGCAATACTCTTGGGATGTCTGGTGTGAATCGCTTTCTTGAGGTCATGCCACAGCATCTCAATCGGGTTGAGGTCAGGACTCTGACTGGGCCACTTCAGAAGGTGTATTTTCTTCTGTTTAAGGCATTCTGTTGATTTACTTCTATGCTTTGGGTCATTGTCCTGTTGCAACACCCATCTTCTGTTGAGCTTCAGCTGGTAGACAGATGGCCTTAAGTTCTCCTGCAAAATGTCTTGATAAACTTGGGAATTCATTTTTCCTTCGATGACAGCAATCCGTCCAGGCCCTGACGCAGCAAAGCAGCCCCAAACCATGATGCCCCCACCACCATACTTCACAGTTGGGATGAGGTTTTGATGTTGGTGTGCTGTGCCTTTTTTTCGCCACACAGTGTTGTGTGTTTCTTCCAAACAACTCAACTTTGGTTTCATCTGTCCACATAATATTTTGCCAGTACTGCTGTGGAACATCCAGGTGCTTTTGTGCAAACTGTAAAAGTGCAGCAATGTTTTGTTTGGACAGCAGTGGCTTCCTCTGTGGTATCCTCCCATGAAATCCATTCTTGTTTAGTGTTTTACGTATTGTAGATTCGCTAACAGGGATGTTAGCATTTGCCAGTGACTTTTCTCAGTCTTTAGCTGACACTCTAGGATTCTTCTTCACCTCATTGAGTAGTCTGCGCTGTGCTCTTGCAGTTATCTTTACAGGATGGCCACTCCTAGGGAGAGTAGCAGCAGTGCTGAACTTTCTCCATTTATAGACAATTTGTCTTACCGTGGACTGATGAACAGCAAGGCTTTTGGAGATACTTTTATAACCCTTTCCAGCTTTATGCAAGTCAACATTCACATCAGGCAATGCTTCTTGTGAAAAGCAAACCCAGAACTGGTGTGTGTTTTTTATAGGGCAGGGCAGCTGTAACCAACACCTCCAATTTCATCTCATTGATTGGACTCCAGTTGGCTGACATCTCACTCCAATTAGCTCTTGGAGAAGTCATTAGTCTAGGGGTTCACATACTTTTTCCACCTGCACTGTGAATGTTTACATGGTGTGGTCAATAAAAACATGGCAACATTTCATTCTGTGTGTGTTATTAGTTTAAGCAGACTGTGATTGTATATTGTTGTGACTTAGATGATCAGATAACATTTTATGACCAATTTGTGCAGAAATTCATATCATTCCAAAGGGCTCACATACTTTTTCATGCAACTGTATGGTTCTGGGTGTCAGACAAATATTTTGAATTATTTTTTAATCAAAACGGATTTTAATGTGCTGCCGAGGGGTCAGAAACTGCAAAGTACACATAGATGATATCCAAATAGTTGCATATGTCAGGGCTTCACTATTTTGGCTACAGATATCCATGTCAGGCAAAATATTCATTAGCTGCACAATTAGCAGCTCCCTCTCATACAATTAAGAACTGAGAAAGCAGTCTGTGCTTCTATTGCATGCAGTAGGCCAGTTCTCTTACAACCCTTTGAGAGCAGTCAAGGACACCATTTTATCTCCCCTCACTGGCAAAGAGAATCTCTCTGTTGTGTGTGCTTGTTCCAGCCACCAGATTTGCACAGAATTGATGCAAGTCAGTCCAGTAACGCTGCTGAAGATGAAGTTACACCTCCGACAATAAAGGGGTCAAAAGGGGTGCAGTGTTTCATAGGTAAACGCTGCACATACAGATTCCAGGCACCATGAAAAGTAGTCATGGTGCTTGGAATAAATCTTAAGCCATGTGTTCCAAGAAATATATTACATATGGTTTTTCAGTAATCCTTGCAGCAGACTGAATAAAATTGAGTGAGTTAAAAATGATGCACCCATCCAGAGCTTGCAATACTGGGCAGTTGAAAAAAGTGAGCAGATATAAGCTTTTAAAAGTGACCATGAGTATAAACCATATGACATCACTTGGAGGAATGTGTACGAAAAGCTGTATTTCTGACAGTATATCTGCTAAATCTTTATGAACTATGTATTTACTATAATCCAAACTTTGGATGGTAAGAATTTGTTCCAATTTAAATTTGTCCCATGCGCTCCCTGAACATGAGTAGAGTAGCTTAGGAATTATTTCTTGAAAATGTAAATAGGTCCTTTATCCTCATAAGCGGTCAGCACGCATAGTGATTAAAAAAAAGCAGTCACTAAAAAGTTACGATAAGCCCCTGCCTTTACCTTCACACCATGTGTGGGAGGAGCAGGATTAAAAACAAACCCAATGAAGTCCACAAGTCTTCTATGAGGGAATTGTTATATTCAAACAATTGACCAACCAATAAGAAGCAGAAAGAAAAAGAATAGGTGCACCCAACAGATTATGCTTTCGGGGCATGAGGGGCAAGGTTAAAAGACTGTATTGTGCATTTCTTTCCAGGTTAATTTGGGTTCTTGGGAATATCCTACTTTAAGATACATCATTCTCTTTCCACATACAGGCTTAAATATTTAATGTGGGAGAATCCTAGAAGTCCCATTAATCTAACAGGACTTACCCAGAGCGGTCTTTTTTTTTTTTTTTTTAAATAAAGTGTAGAATATAATTAATCTACTCTGCAACATCATGGTTATTCCCTAAAGTTAGAAATCCAAGTGAATCTCAAATACAAAATAAAAATAGCTGAATTAGAAATAACTTCTAAGTCAGTTATGCTTTCCATTCTGCTGCTCTGGCCTTAAAGGGACACAATAGTCACCAAAACAACTTGATCTTAATGAAGCAATTATTGTGCATAGATCATGCCACTGAAATTTCACTGCTCAATTCACTGCCATTTAGGAGTTAAAGGAACACTATAGTCACCTAAATTACTTTAGCTAAATAAAGCAGTTTTAGTGTATAGATCATTCCCCTGCAATTTCACTGCTTAATTCACTGTCATTTAGGAGTTAAATCACTTTGTTTCTGATTATGCAGCCTTAGCCACACCTCCCCTGGCTATGATTGACAGAGCCTGCATGAAAAAAAAGAAACTGGTTTCACTTTCAAACAGATGTAATTTACCTTAAATAATTGCATCTCAATCTCTAAATTGAACTTTAATCACATACAGGAGGCTCTTGCAGGGTCTAACAAGCTATTAACATAGCAGGGGATAAGAAAATCCTTATTAAACAGAACTTGCAATAAAGAAAGCCTAAATAGGGCTCTCTTTACAGGAAGTGTTTATGGAAGGCTGTGCAAGTCACATGGAGGGAGGTGTGACTAGGGTTCATAAACAAAGGGATTTAACTCCTAAATGGCAGAGGATTGAGCGGTGAGGCTGCAGGGGCATGTTCTATACAAAAAAACTGCTTCATTAAGCTAAAGTTGCTCAGGTGACTATAGTGTCCCTTTAAATCACTTTTTTTCCCGGTGTATGCAGCCCTAGCCAAACCTCCCCAGGCGGTGACTGACAGAGTCTGCATGAAAACAAAATGGTTTCATTTTCAATTAGATGTAAATGACCTTCAAGGATCACTAGAGGGTCAGGAACAGAAACATGTATTCCATTTAGGTGACTTGCCCCCCTCCTTAGCCCCTCAGAATGGTTTAAAACTCACCTTATTTCCAGCTCTCCACTACATTAAGGTGTAGTTGTTCTGGTGACTATAGTGTCCCTTTAAAAGTTTTTATCTGCTGCTCTGTAAATTGAAATTTAAAGGGACACTATAGTCACTGTAACAGCTACAGCTTATTGTATTTGTTCTCGTGAGTATAATAAATTCCCGCAAGCTTTTTGCAGTAAACACTGTCTTTTCAGAGAAAAGGCAGGGTTTACATTACAGCCTAGGGATACCTCCACTGGCCACTCCTCAGATGGCTGCTAGAGGTGCTTCCTGGGGCAGTGCTGCATACTGTGCAGTAGGGATAGACAGATTATCGGTTTGGCCGATATTATCAGCGATATTCAGTTTTTTGGCAAATATTGGTATCTGCCATTGTTGCTACAGATATTGCGGATAATGTGAGAGGCGGCAGTGGCCCAGTACACATACATACATACACATATATTTATATATATATATATATATATATATCTATATCTATATCTATATCTATCTAAAGCAGCCCAAAAGAAGAAAAATAAAAGGCCAAGTTCAGGAACAAAAATATTACCTAAAAAAGGGATTATTAGAAAAGGAAGGAGAGAGGAGAGATATGCATATTTCTTTTTTTTAATCACATGAACAGTAAATACCAATTAAAATAGCAAGTTAATTGATTGGATATAAATTCCAGCCTCCTACCCTGTAGCTTTCTTTTATCCGCCATGTTTCCTTCACTAGAGATGGGTTTTCTTCATACTTTATAAAAGCAGGATGCTGAAAAGTAGAAACAGGGGTTTTTTGAACGCTGAAATCACATATGTAAGCAAGTTTTTGTTGGCCAACAGATGCTCACTTTCTCATTTTGTACATCTACATAAAATGATTGTTCAGGGTTTTATCTGCAAAGTCCATATATAATTTTACAAACATGTATCTTTAAAAACAAATATGCGGTAACATAAAATTTGTGACATTCAGCATCAGTAGTCTTGTTTCTCAATGAAATTATGTGATTGTAAATACGTGTATAAATATATTTTGGTTTTTTTTTGGCTTCTCTGCCTTTACCTTTCCTCTTGCTCAGCAGAGGCCGAGTGACTTGACCACAGAGACCTGAGAGATACCGGATGAGAGCCTAACAAAAAAGAGAGACAATGATCCTACTTAGCGTTCCTTTCACAATAATCGGACATTGCTTTATTGTGAACAAGGCTGACGACTCTGGGAACCTGCGGTCATATACCTACCTACTTGGCAGGCAGGGTCCTACACTTGAAGCTGCAAGTGAGAGAAAATAGCTATCAGCTGAGATCTGCTCTCTCCAATTAATTACGGACCCCCTGGAGAAGGGTTAATTTATTTGCCACTGCTGTTTCTTAAGAAAATAACCATTCACATCTATTTGAATAATGTATACTCTGAGTCTGATTAGATAAAGAGTAATTCTTTTTAAACATACATATATAAAAGTTTAAATACTACAAAAGTTTAAAAACCATTTAAAGGGACCCTATAGTCACCAAACAAATGTAGTACAGAACTTCAAGTGACAGAGTAGGTGCTCAATGCTTTATTATCATCCTGCCACTCAGTGAGTTATGGGGAATGTGTCAGGGATTTAAAATGATGACCATTTTCTGCAATTTGCTTTAGTTGGTTTAGTACCATCTTAAAGTTCAATAAAATGTCATTCTGTAGAATGCAAAGTATGTTGAGCTGCTTTGCAGTGCTATATGTAGATTTGCAAAATTAATTTATATACACAAATTGCTCGGATGTGCTGAGTGAAATGCAGTTTTAAAAATTAAAGTTAGGGTCATAAAATGTGTGCATACTAATATCTTAACAACTGACTGTTCAGTGAATAAACTCCACACAGGGTTATTCAGGTTTTCAAAGAATAGTCAGGAATTATAAGCCAAAATATGTGTGCTGGGAAAAACAGCTGAAAATTTTACCTGTTTGGCAAATGTTGCCTAAAATTTGAAATTCACATTTTCGTGATCAAATGGACAATCCGGAACCAATACTACTTTAATGCATTAGATAGGTTTTGGCCTCAGTAATATGCTATATTTTGTGCATGCTTAAAACTTTCTAGTTTTTGCAGCATGCCGCAACATAAGCATGTCTCTTTAACCACACCCATTTATCCCAAAACAAAAACTTCCTTATCAAATGTATGCACACAGTTTTGTGCAAAAGCTAGAACGATGATTATGATGTAGGAAAAAAAACAACAACAAAAAAAAATAAAAAAACAACAAACAACCCCATTCTCCCCCCCTCCCAAAAAAAACCCAGCATATTAGCTAGGTGAAAATCTATCAAATGCATTAAAGGTGCACAGTGTCGATTTAACACAAAGCATAGTTTCTTGTTCAAATTAAAGGCTGTTGGTCACCTTTTAACAGAACATCGTCACTTCACATTTCAGTTGCAGGAAATAAAGTTCCCAAACTGGACTGATAAGATATAGAATGCATAAGACTTTATGTCTGAATTCAAGAAAGTGTTTATATGTGCAGATAGAAAATATTTACACTGTCGGAACCTGGAATTAATGCTTTGCTCTACTCACCTTGAATTGTAAGACTTGATACATGGACAAAAAGTCTCCCAAGTGCATTGGTACACCACCTACAGAAAAAAAAATTAATATAATTCATATAACCTTCACTTTGACAAGATTTTTTTTTTCCGTCAATCTTTGTTTTATTGCGGCATATATGATGGGATACAGAAGAAAGAAAAGGGAAATGTACAGTTTGTTCTCAGCGTGGGGTCAATACAACGTTAGCATTAGGTAGAAACATTTCCTTGTTTAACAGTGCCACATTTTTTGTTAAGTCGTTTAACGAGAGAATATATAAAGCATTTTGAAAGTAAGCAAACATCGGTTATGTTAGGCTACTACCATAATACTGGAGCCTTGACAAGATTAATATTTGTGAAATTCCTAAGTATTAATAAACTTTTGTGTTGCCAGTTTTGCCACACAATTAAACCATTCCACAACAATCAATGCAAGAAATCTAGCCTTTCACCATCATTTGACAAACATAGCAGCAATGACTATTTGACAGAGCAGTAGAAAAAAAAAAGGAGGAGGAGGCTCTGTCTAAGGAGGATTCCACAGGAACCTCCACAGACATCAGTATTGTATTCCTGCATGTGCGAGAGAACAGCACTCATGTCGGCTCCTTTCAGATGAAGAGGACCTTGCGGAATAAGATGGCAGCATCTAGGTACAAGTTCAAGTAAATAAGAACTACTGTCCCCCAATCTAAATAAAAACGTGAATAAAAGGGCCTAATTTGTACTTTTTCCCGCACAGAGATTTAGTCCCTACAGCCACCTGACCTTGATCCAGCAACCTCACTCTCATGATTCTAAATGTTCAAGCCAATTCTCCTCAGATTGCTCTTCAAATAAAATGGATGATAGCTGTGAAAACAGAGTATGGCTCAGTTCTCACAGCAGAAATACCTCTAGAGGCTGTCAAGAACACAGCCACTACAGGTGTGTTTAGACCTCTAGTGTAAACTTCTGTAAATCCACTATATGGCAACGTTTTATATAAAAGGGTTAAAACTAGAGAACCACAATGCACCCAGAACAGTTCACGGAGATGAAATAGTCAGGGTGCCTGTACTGGTGATTTAAGAACAAAACAGATGAATTGGAGAAGTAGACCTAAGTAAGCCTGATATCCCTGGTCAATTTTAAACAATGCATGGTTTAGTTTAAACCCTAAAGATTATAATCACATCCTACTAATATTTGTTAAAGAGGATTAAGGAATTATATAAAAAAATTATATCATTTGAAAATTATTTTCATATAGAGATTAATAGAGTGATGGTCCTGCAGGAATAGAACTTTCTTCTTAGCATTAAAGATCCCTCCGGGGAATACTGCACATAGCCAAACTTACAAAATTACCATGGTTAGAATTGTCAGGAACTCAAAGTGGATTTAACATCTATGGCTAAATTAGATTAACTGAACGCAAAGCTTTTTCGATTTCGGCTATTTTTGGGCTTACATTTAAAATTCACATTGAATTCCAGACAAATCTTATTTTGCTGGGTTAGTCACTAAAGGGAGAAGTCAAGGTGAATTTAACATTTTAAGGGACACTCTAGGCACCCAGACCACTTCATCTCAATGAAGTGGTCTGGGTGCAGTCACCCAGTCCTCTTAAAGGAAAACTATAGTGCCAGGAAAACAAAGTTGTAACCCTGTATGAACAAGCTGTGAATGTGCTAGGAGCAGTTATGGCATAACGGCTATCAGTTTATTTGGACATAGAGATATCCCATACACACACACATATACATACATTATATATATATATATATATATATATATATATATATATATATATATATATATATATATATATACACACACACACACATACACATATATATATATATACATATATACACACACACATACATATACATACACACACACACGCGCTGTTGTGAAAATGGGATAGACAACAGGTGGAAATTATAGGCAATTAGCAAGACACCCCCAATAAAGGAGTGGTTCTGCAGGTGGTGACCACAGACCACTTCTCAGTTCCTATGATTCCGGGCTGATGTTTTGGTTACTTTTGAATGCTGGCGGTGCTTTCACTTTAGTGGTGGCATGAGACGGAGTCTACAACCCACACAAGTGGCTCAGGTAGTGCAGCTCATCCAGGATGGCACATCAATGCGAGCTATGGCAAGAAAGTTTGCGGTGTTGTCAGCGTAGTGTCCAGAGCATGGAGGCGCTAACATGAGACAGGCCAGTACATCAGGAGACGTGGAGGAGGCCGTAGGAGGGCAACAACCCAGCAGCAGGACCGCTACCTTTCGCCTTTGTGCAAGGAGGAACTGGATGAGCACTGCCAGAGCCCTGCAAAATGACCTCCAGCAGGCCACAAATGTGCATGTGTCTGCTCAAACGGTCAAACAGACTCCATGAGGGCCAGACGTCCACAGGTGGGGGTTGTGCTTACAGCCCAACACCGTGCAGGACGTTTGGCATTTGACAGAGAACACCAAGATTTGCAAATTCGCCACTGGCACCCTGTGCTCTTCACAGATGAAAGCAGGTTCACACTGAGCACATGTGACAGACGTGACAGAGTCTGGAGACGCCGTGGAGAACGTTCTGCTGCCTGCAACATCCTCCAGCATGACCGGTTGCACCACAGACTGTCCAGGAGTTGGCAGATGCTTTAGTCCAGGTCTGGGAGGAGATCCCTCAGGAGACCATTCGCCACCTCATCAGGAACATGCACAGGCTTTGTAGGGAGGTCATAAAGGCACGTGGAGGACACACACACTACTTAGCCTCATTTTGACTTGGTTTAAGGATATTACATCAAAGTAGATTCTATGGTGCTATGAATACAAAGTTGCATTCCTAACACTATAGTGCCCTCTGGTCCCCCTGTCCATCGCTTCCCTATGGCACATACAAGGTTAAAAACCTTTTATTTACTAACCAATTCGAGCGCTGGTGTCTCTGGACGTGGGTCGTCGCTTCTCCTGCTCCAACAAGGGGAAACTTACGCGCATCAGCAGTGAATCCGTACTTTCCAATGGGGATTTTTACAGACGCCTGATGTCCTCATGCAGAGTAGGAGGACATCCAGTGTCATTTAAGAGACTAGAATACCGTAAACTCCCAGAAGCGCCTTTAGTGGCTGTCCTGTAGACC